CAGAATAGCACCGTGGCGTGGTTGATATATCACAGTTGTGTCTCCTTGTAGCCTGTAGTCATTCAGTGAGTATGGGACTGTGATCTTTAGGAGATTCAGGTCGACTTCAACAGGTCGTTCAATGCTCTCCTGATTATATGGGGATAGGACTATCGTGAAAGTAACCAATTGATCAAGCTTAACCGGTAGCGGGAATCAATAATTGGATAAGCTTAAGAGTTTTCTGAGTTGCTTATTGTTTTGAACTCTCCTATTGGATGATCAAGGACGTATTATGCTGTGGATCAATGATGGCGATTAGAGTACGCGATAAGAAAGCGCGGAGAGATAAGCTTTACTATGTGGAGTATCGGAGTACGGGGTATTTTGTAGGGATTGAGGAGAAGGGATGTGGCGAAATTGGGAGGGTTGGTAAAGGAATTGTATATTTTTCATGTGACTGTGGTTTCTGGGGTGTTTTTGGAGAATTCGATTTTTGGGAGGTGTTTGTTATTTGTGCGTTTTGAGGGTCCCTGCTTTTCGCAGCCAAAAAGTGAGTACTCACCACGGAGTCTACAGAAATGAGAAATTGACAAGTAGGCAATCAATGGATAAAGTGGGTGAAATAGAGACGAAAAAGCAGAAATTGGAATCTTGGTAAAAAAATCTAACAAAAATGACGACTTTTTAATCTAGTGTCCTTTAAAAAAAAGAACTACTTCTTGAGATCAGTGGACCTCATTGGAAGAAGCGCACCATCGAGAACTCCATACCACTGAGATGATGAAAATGAAGGGCAAATCAGTGCAAAGAAAATTTTGATGAAGAAGTCGAAAAATTGCTAAGAGCCATCAACTTGAAATTTGACCGGCTTTTCATTGGCTTTTGGCAGGGAACGTTAGGTCAAGGGCACTAACATGTAGAGTTGTTACGCTACTTAGTGCAGTAAGCCAGATAAAACTTGATTCTCCAGCTGCCCACCACCTACGCTATTCCTTGAGGTCATCTCGTTAACCTTTCTGAGAATTTCAAAAGAACGTCGTTTAAACGCTAGAGCCAGACACTGATAAACCTTGTGGCCATACATTCCATGAGTTGGTGAAGCATGAGTTGGAAGCATGAGTTAGTAAAGCAATAGTTTCTTAAAAAGCAAGCAAAATGGGAGGAATTTGTGGAATTGGTCGTGCAAGGATATCTTACAGTGTATTCTTCTTCAATTGACAGCCCCGTCTCATCAACTACTACCCAGCAACTGACTACTGGTCCATTACATCCAAACTGAAGATTTCCCGCCAGCATGGATCTTCAAAATTGCCTCAATTCCATCTACTCACTAAATTCCTCTCTTCCACACTTCACAGGAAAATGTCAATTGAATCTATTCAGTTACACCCTCCACCCTGAATGGCTGCGAAAAGTCAGAACACACCTTCCAGTGCATTCATCAAAAACGCAAAAGCCCAGACCACGAACCTAACAGAGCCAAAAAGGCAACAACAATTCCACGATAAACTTACCACAAAATCATTTATTTTAAATCACCAAAAGAAAAGAAACCAAAAGGGAAGCTCCAGTTCGCAGTGTGACCATCCACCTATCCAATCACACCCATATCAATCCCCCAAAACCACCCAATTCCCCCAACAAAAAGCGAAAAATCCAAAACACCAATATCAAGACTTCGAAACAAGAGGTCTAAAAACACCCCCCAAAAGTACCTCCCAACTAAAGCATCCCCCACTGGGGTGACTTTCCTGCACGCGAACCAACATCAAGCACCAACTTCCAACTCACCAAACCACCGCCATGGCCGAAGCAGATATAGACCGGTTGGCCGAGAAGGTGGCGCATCTTCTGACGAAACTCGTCACGGAGGTGGCCAAATCGCTGGAGCTCGAGGAGACGATCTTGCAGGTGAAGCGGGAAAACGCCTCCTTGAAGAGCCAGGTGGGTGACTTGACTCTGGATGCTCTGCGGACGAAAAAGGCGGAAACGGAATTGGAGCAGCTCAGGCAGAGGCTCGGACAAACGGAAGAGGAGAAGAAGGTGGCGGAGGAGAAAAACAAGCAGCTCGAGGGCGAGGTGGAGGACTTGACGGCCTCCTTGTTCAACGAGGCGAACGAGATGGTGTCCAATGCGTCGAGAGAGACGTACAACTTCAAGGTGAAGAACCGCAAGCTTTATGAGGAGATTGACGAGAAAAACGCCATCATAGACAGCCTCCAGGCGCAGCTCCAGGACCTCAAGGGCCTTTTCATGAAGTTGGAGGATCAACAGAGATCCCTGAGACACGGCACGCCGCAATTGGAGCACGGCTTTGACGAGCAGCCTACAGACAATGTCGTGGACGACTACGGCTTCCTCATGTCGCAGCTCATCCACGCTCCCAGGGTCAGGGCGATCCGCTTTGACCTCAACCACTACCAGCACGACTTCAAGGCGTTTGTGTTCCAGCTCATCAAGCCGGACTTTGTGTTTGACTTGGCCACGTTGAAGACGTTGAAGTACTTTCGGAAGATCTGGCACGAGGAGATCGAGCCGGCCTTGGGAACGATCCCCAGTGTGTCCAACAACTTCCTTAACCGGTTCTCCAAGGGCAAGACGTTCTGGACGTTGCTTGCGGAGGGGAAGGCCATTATCGAGCCTGTCAGCGGCGTCAACGAGACATTCAAATTGAACTACAGAGGTGTCAAGACGGGTGACGAGAAGCCTGTGGCCATGAAGGAACCCTGTGCTTTCTGTGGAGAGACCAAGGGCGACCGACTTGAACATGCTCGTTTGTACATGCTCAAATTGTACGGCCCAGCGTCCGAAACGTCCATAACCGGCGACTCGTCCACAACCATCATCAGCGGAGAAGTCCACGAGGTGATTGGCACGTACCCACTCTGCAACTTCTGCTTGGTCAAGCTCCGGGCGATCTGCGAGTTCTTCGCCAAGCTCAGGCTTGTGCATGCCAACGTCTACAAACTCCAGCAAAACAGCACATTCGACGATCTTGCGTTTGTCTCGCAGTTCAAGTTCCAGAACTACGACCGTCACACCCACACCGTGGACAGGAAAGTCTCCGGCAACGACGAGGCGATCCTTATAAAGCTTTATTACTTGTTGCTCACGGTCCGGGCCAAGATTTTTTGGAGTAAGGTTGGCTTCTGGGACACCGAGGAGGACTCCGAAACCGTCACCATCGAAGAGGCCCACATTGATATTTTCCAGAGAATGGTGAATGAGAACAGCGCCTTTGGCGTGGACAGAGCAGAGCCCATTGAGAGGCCCCAAAGCGTCAATGGCGACAACAGCAGAAAGTCGGACGTCACAGATACAGAAAAAGAGACAGAGACGTCCAAGTCAACACAGGAGACGACGCAGGATACAGCTCAGGCTGAAGAAGGCACCGAGAAGAAGATCGAGAAAGAAGGTAATGAGGACTCGGACGAGGGCGACTTTGCAGACGCAGAGACGTTTGAGCAGCCGTTGCAGAGACGCAAGAGCAAGTCCAAGGAGTTCAAGAAGAAGATCGACCAGGGATTGGCCTCCACGATGGAGATGTTGAAGGAGAGCATTGACGAGGACGAGAAGAAGAGGGCGAACTAGTCGATGGCACCCTTGGATTGGCTGAAATCACAGGTGAAGAAAGCCACAAACCATAGCTGGTCCGGCTACGTCCATTCACTCTTTTAGGGCGAGCCAGCGGTACAGAACAGCGGCACAAACTACGGCCTTTTCGGCTACATGAATACACTAATCGACAGAACCCGGATATGTAGGGATTGGTGCAGCAAAACGTCTTGCAGCAAAAACGTCTTGCATCAAATCAGGCGACAAACAGTGTTGATGATGTCACTTTGGTTGTTTTTGATCTCCCGCTATACCCTGCCTGTTCCATGGGTAATATATGGAACTCCGAAGTTCCCGAGGCGCCTAATATGCCTTTGAGGATATGCAAAACCTACCAACCCGTGGATTCTGAAAATGCCAAAAACGATAAAAAATCAATCGTCAGTTAAATCCAATCTCAATTCCGCCACACCTTTTCCTATTGTGTCCCGTTTGTTTGTGTCTGATAGGCCTATTGTGTTTGCAGCCATTCTATTCGCGACCCAGCCAGCCAGCTTATAATGAGAATTGAGTTTATTATGGATGGGAGGAATGGTCGTCAAAAAAGAAGCATTTCAGAAATTACGATTGGAATGCAAAGAATGGATTCACATTTGCGACAAGTTTCGGGGCTTTGCCAGGGTGAAATTTGTGCAGATTGCTGCTGATTGGAGATGGTGGGTTTTCTAGAATCGAGAACCTCCAAACCATACAAATACGGTTTTGGCTTTTTGCCGAGTGATCAGGCTATGGAGGAGCCAATCGCTTAGCTTATTGCCAATTTTCAGTCTGGCCTTTTCACCGAATCATCCCATACTCCACTTCGATCCGACACCCGTACCGCAAAATGCAATTACCAAACCACCTTCAAACCGAAAAACCTTTCATTTCAAAAACCCAAAATCAATTCCCAAAGTATCACAACCGGCTTCTTGGTGGAGGTATATATAGACCTTGCATCGAAGACAGCGGCCTGCGTGCAGGTCTGTTACACGGTTCCCAACCATAACAGTGGTGTGATCTCCACGACATACGAAGGATTTTGCAAAAACAGCTTGAAAAATGTATTCTTGAAAAACCGCTTTTTCAAGGCCTCGCCCAAATCACGCTTCTCTATACGCCACCCCTCTTTTCTCTGACACCTCTGGAACCACCAGCCCCGTCCTATATGCAGGTCTGTAACAAGTCACTTTCCATGGATTCCAAAAACCACCTTTTCTTTTCCAAAACCACCTACTTCTTTTTCCTCCCATTTGCATTAGAATAAAAAGAAGATCAATCCTCCCTCCAGTTGGCAAATTGCTCCCCAAAATTCCATCAACCCAGCCACACCAGAACCCGTACACCGACACGTCCTACACCATCTACACGTACATACCTCAACACACATACACCGTTTTCTCCCGTTTTCCATATACCAGCGGATGTCCCGAAAACGAATAGACCCGTACCACTCGTCCGTACACGGTGAGGACGTCGACAAGGCCAACCTGGCATACTACGCTCCGCTCAAAAGCAGAAACCTGGTGACTCTGCCTCAACAACCTAGCCGAATGGGACTGGGTCTTTTCCGCCGTAAAAAAGAGCCTCTAGACGAGGAGCTGGACGCTAACTCCGTTATATCCGCCACCCTGGGCGGCTCCAATCCGTCCAAACGCCACGGCTCCATGGCCAGTTTTGGTCTGTCCAATTCTCAAGGACACAGCACGCTGAATATCGTTCCAGGACCCCTGGTAACGAGTTCTAGCCACTCCCGCTCGGGCTCCATCTACCTGTTCAACACGTCAGCAAATCCGTATGACCACGTCACGGAACGCCTGGCTCGCCAGGAAAAGACGGCCCCTACTCCCCAGCCGACACAACAACCGACGCTGAGGGCGCCTCTGTTTGCTCTTTCTCGAAAAGCCACGGGGCTGTCGCTCTTCTCCCGGCCGTCGCTCAGCACAAGCACTACAAACGACGAGGCGCCTACGGACCTGCTCCGAAAGCCCCAGAACCCGGTCGAGATTGAGCGCATGTTCAGGGACTTGATGGAGAAACGAGACTTTCGCTCGCTCCCACAGCTGGCCCGGCAGGAGATGCTCAATTACTCCGTTGACAAGAAGTGGATGCTTGTGCAGCAGGACGCCTTGCACGAGCACAGCAAGCTGGCGCTGAAACTGAAGGCCCTGCCCGAGTACTACACACGGAAGCTCATTGCCAAGACGATCTCCCTGGACGAGCTCGAGAACTTGTGGGTTTCGCTTCGAACGGAGCCTATAGACTGGGTTCGTGAGTTTATCTACGACTTCCAGGGCGATGTGGCCCTCTCGCTGTACCTCATCAAGACCCACGACCAGATGGGCGGCATGGACATTGACGACATCCAGGACGATATCTTCACCAGGGAGTTCAACACCCTCAAGTGTCTCAAGTGCATGATGAACCAGAAATTGGGCGCCGAAAGAGCAAAAACAGACGACCTGCTCTACATCAACGCCATCACCGGCTCCCTCTTATCCCCTCGCATTGCTACTCGACGTATCGCCGCCGAGTCTCTCACATTCATGATCGTCTACTACTGCCGTGTTGGCGGCGATCACAACAAATACCACAAGGTGCTCCGCTCGCTCGATGGCCTTCAACTGAAGCCTTACTACGAGTTCGTTGCCGCTGCCAATGCATCCACCAAGAAAACCTTACAGCGAAAGCCTCCTCCAGACGAGAATACCCATCGCTTCGAGCTCTGGCTCCGTCTTGTCGATAGAACTATCGAAGGCCGTGGCAAGTACAAGAACTCGTTGGTCGGAGCTAGCGAGGAACTCAAATACCAATTTGCCGTCAACGGCTCCACCGTGGGCGGCCCATCGCATGTCGAAAACCAGCTTATGGAGTACTGTTTGGGCACTATGCTTCTCATTAACACCATCGTCGAATATGGCTTGGACTTCCGTGTGAGGATCCACCTTCGAACCCAGTTCACAGCAGCAGGGATCGACCAGCTTTTGGGTAAATTCCTGGATCTTGGCTATGACAGTTTGGTGAAGCAGGTCCAGAAGTACAGAGAGATGGCAGAAGCTGACGAGATGGAACTCAAGACGAAGCAACAGATTGACGAGGATCTTGATTTCAACAATCCCGTCGACTTGGTCCGCTCTCTTTGGACGAATGTCCAGAACAGCGAGGCTCAAGGGCATTTCTTGAGCGCCATGCAGCATATTTATCTTAATCAAACCGAAAAGAAGGACGACTCAGAGGAGGTGACTCGAAGCTTGCGTCTTCTTGATGGTCTTATCCAAAACGTTACTGGTGCGCATACGTCAAACGACGACTCTGCTGTGGGAATCGCTATCAACCGCTTGTACGCTGGCTTGAGTACAGATGATATGTACCGCAAAGCTATTAATGAGGTTAAGTTGTACAAGAAAATTGCCGAAGAAGCCACAGCAGAGAGAGACGAGATGTCAAAGCAGCTCTCCATTGGATCGGAAGGTCTCATCACTAACATGTCGAATGACCTTAAGGAGCAAGAGCTCGTGCTCAGGCGAACCCGTCGTATGAACGAGGAGCTCGAGGAAGAATTGGAAGACTTGAAGCGTAAACATTTACGTGAGAAGCAAGAGCAGGAGGTTGAAATGCGTGAGCTACTCATTATGCTCAACAGTGCTCAAATTGACTCGAAGAAGGACAAGGGCAAGACAACTGTGCTGGTTCAAACTAGCAACGAGAAGCTCATCAAGAAGTTACAGAAACAGATCTCAAGGAAGAAGAACGAGTTCAGAATGGACAACAAGCAGCTTGGAACCCTGGTGGAACCAAGCTCTCGTTTGCGTGCCTTGAGAGAGCAGATGGCTGACATTGAGAACCTAGCAAGAGAGTTGGAAATGACCGATTTCGAAACATACTCCTTGCCAAAGGAAGAGCCTGCCGAGCCTGAACCACAGCCAGTACTTGAGCCAGAGCCTGCAACGCCAGAGCCTGAGGTGCTCCCACCTGTTCCCCAAGGCCCTAAGCGTTCCGTCCGTGAGGACGATCTTGAGAAGTTGGAGAAGCTTAGGAAGAAACTTGCATCTTTGCAAAGTGAGTCGAATGATATCATGAAGTTCAACAACAAATCCTTGTTCTCCAAACAGAAGTTTCTCGCTATGGAACGTTTGCGTGAGCTTGAAACGAACTTTGCCGATTTCAACATTGATTTTGACATAAGTGAAGATGAGGCTGCGCTTCTTGGTATGATGGATGCTAGTGTCAAGTCCAAGATCCAGGAAGAGCTCGATCTGGTCAAGAAGCTCAATACGGATCTTCGTTCCCAACTTGCTGCAATCAATGACATCAAGCTGCCATCCAAGGCTTCCTCTGCTAGTCCTTCCTCCGATACACTTCTGAAGATCGAGGCCAAGTACGCCCAGGGCAAGGTTGTTGTTGACGGTGCTGACCGCGCTGTCAAGGGCACAAACTCACCTGCGAAGGACTATAAGGCGAACAGAAAGTCCACCATCAGCAGCCTTGATCCTAAGTTCTTGAACGAGTTGAGCTCCAAAGTCAAGCAGGCTGAAGCTATCAGCTCTGCCCCAGCTTCGGATGAAGAGAAGTTCGAGGACTCTGTCGACAAAGAGCAAGCTCCATCAGAGGCACCCAAAGCTACTGGTGCACCACCTCCACCACCACCTCCACCTCCGCCTCTTCCACCAGTTCTTGGAGGAGCTCCACCTCCACCTCCACCACCTTTGCCTCCAAGCTTGAATGGTGGAGCACCACCCCCACCTCCACCTCCTCCACCTCTTGGAGGTGCATTCGGAGGAGCCCCCCCACCACCAGCCCCACCATTGCCATCTGGATCAACAAGAAGCGCATCACCATCTCCTGCTCCACAAACTGCTCACCCATTCGATATGTATCCAAGACCAAAGAAGAAGTTGAAGCAATTGCATTGGGAGAAATTCGAAAATGGCGAGAACAACGCCAACTCGTTCTGGCATGATTCTCAACTGCAAAACATTGCTTCTGAATTGATGGACAAGGGTGTATTGGACGAGATTGAGACAATTTTCGCCGCTAAGGAAATCAAGAAGTTGGCGACGAAGAAGAAGGAGGATGTCGACAAAGTCACATTCTTGGCCCGTGACATTGCTCAGCAGTTCGGTATCAATTTGCATTCATTCAATAATTTGTCTGACGAAGAGGTTGTCGACAAGATCTTGAGATGTGACAAGGAAACATTGACAAACCCTGCAATTTTGGAATTCCTTGGTAAGGACGAAATCACCGAGGTTTCTAATAGTTTGGCACGTAACCTCGAGCCTTATCTGACCGACTACACGTCTGATGAGATCTCTAAGCCGGAGAAGGACCCAAGCGAATTGCAGAGACCAGACAGACTTTACCTTGAGTTGATCTACAACTTACAGCATTACTGGAAGTCAAGAGTCAGATCCTTGAAGACAATTGCCAATTACGAAAAGGATTATGAAGACTTGGTCACCAAGCTCAGGTCTCTCGATGAAGCAGTCGAGAAGATCAAGCACTCCAAGGAATTGAGAAGTGTTTTTGACATCATCTTGGCTGTGGGTAACTACATGAATGACACCTCTAAGCAAGCAAAGGGTTTCAAATTGAGCTCTTTGCAGCGTTTGGGTTTCGTGAAGGATGAGAAGAATAGCATGTCCTTCTTGCACTACGTCGAGAAGACCGTGAGAACGCTCTATCCTGAGCTCATGACATTCATGGAGGACCTTGCCCTTTGTGTGCCAGTTGCAAAGTTTTCCATCGAGAACATCTCAAGTGATTGCAGAGAATACGGGCAGGCCATCAAGAATGTTCAGAGTTCCATTGACATTGGTAACTTGAGTGACGTTTCCAAGTTCCATCCTAAGGACCGTGTCCTCAAGGTTGTTACGCCATCGTTGGCAAGAGCCAAGAAGAAGGCAGACTTGTTGCAAGACCAGGCCAACTACACGCTCAAGGAGTTTGAGACTTTGATGAAGTATTTCGGCGAGGACCCCAACGACAGTTTTGTAAGGAACTCGTTCTTCAGTAAGTTCACAAGTTTCTTATCTGAGTTCAAGAAGGCTCAACGTGAAAACTTGCAGCGTGAGGAGGAATTGAGAATCTACGAGCAGAGAAAGAAGCTCTTGGAGAATACCACAAAGCAGTCGAAGGCCAAGAAGGAGAGCGGATCTGAGGACGAGGATGAGAACGTCATGGACTCGCTTCTTGAGAAACTTAAGGCTGCTGGTCCTCAAAAGGGAGAACCATCGTCTGCTCGTAAGAGAGCACTCATGAAGAAGCACTTGATGGAGAACTTGAAGAAGCTGGGCGGCGAATCAGAATCCAGAGAAAGTTCACCTAGCCGTGGTGGCTCCACTACAGACTTGTCCAGTGTCGAAGAGCCCGAAAATGGCACTGCTTCTGGTGACAAGGATGTGGGATCAAGAGCTAGGAATTTGCTTCAAGAATTGAGAAAGGCCGAAAGTGGTGAAAAGACCAGCAGTGCCGCAGCATACAGACAACAAAGACAGCGTCGTCGACAATTACTGACGGTTGGCGAGGTTGACGTTTCCGTGGATTCGTCCACTAAACTGAGTCCCGAACCACCGAAGGAAGAAGACAAGGGCGAAAGCAAAGAAGAGACCTGAGACTTTACATTACATAGCATTACGATTTAACGAGATATCTATTATAGCGAGATGCTGGAGGAGGCTACTTTTTTGAGATCCTCCAAGTCGTAGTCTATGAGTTCTTTGGAAGAACTGTTTCCGAAAAAAGGCTTGTAGATTCCTTGGAACGCCTTTCCGGTTAATTTGTACAAGAATGGCCGCTCTAACCTTTCGTATAATACATCAAAGTTAGCTCCATGGGGTATTTTGTCTTCATCAGCGAGTTTCTGGCAAATTCGTTGCAATTCTGGCGATCCAGTAACGAACCTGTCAAAAGCTACAACATCTCCAGTAACGCCCACACTAAGCATATGAAGCCTATCAGATTCTGCCCAAGGTCCTTGAGCCAGTGTTTTGAATACTCTGGGAATCAGGTGCGTTTTGAAAAGACCGTCTCTTTTTCTGACGCCACTAGGTGTGAGTTCATGGATTGTCGAGAAAAGCTTGTCGGCGATGAAGATGGAATCATCGATTTTGACGTGATTGGCTAGCGACTTTGGCGCTTTATCGCTCATGACGAGCTTTAGCTCCTCGTTATGGTAGGAATCGCCAGCGTCGTAAGTGAATTCAAAAACAGAGTCCATTTTGGTGCTCACAATAAGCCGACCGTCTGGTTCTGAAGTCATCGAGGCAATGTCGCTCGAAAGCGTCTGGATCGTGTTAACAGGGCGTAATTTGCGATCAGCTAAAAGATACGATGTAGTGTAGATGCTGTTTCCTGATGCAAAGAAGATTGTCAGGCCAATTTGCTCAATACAAGTGACAGGTTCGTCACGAGGAATGGAGTATAATTCTGTCACCTTGATACCAACGGTGGAGCTGCTTAAGGGGAACTTCGAGTAATCGAGGATCTTGATGGAGCCCTTGCTAACATTTGTCGAACATCCCACAATGAGCTTTTTCGAAACTCTATCATTTCTCTCAACATGCCATTGGAAAGCACATATTGGGAATTCTGATGGATCGAAAATCGCAGTGTCTCTTTGCTCTCCCAGCTTCACATCAATTTCCACGCTAGCGAGGATTCGAAGAGTCTTCCTGTCACCAAAACGAAGCCGAGACTGGGGGTCCTTTGACTTGCACAAGAGAACAAACACATTGATGTTTTCGAGATAAAGAAGCTTTTTGGCTGCTTCTCCTATCGTAATCTGTCTCACCAACGGAGCCCTGCGACACGTAATTGAAGCTGTGGTGACACCGTCGTCTCTCACAAGTGCAAGCTTGTGAAGACCTGGCTTTTCTAGACTCACATGGACCACCAGGGTGATCGCATGGCTAATTTTTTCATCAAATGCTGCTTTCGTGGGAAGGTCCGAATCTTCAAAATCGAAAAGCCATATGTTACGAAGCGTCACAAGCACTTGATTTTCGTCGAGGTGAGTGAAGCTGATCGGGGTGGTGCCTAGCCGAAGATCTTGGACGAGAAGAAAAGCATCTTCTAGCTTGAAACGGAAGCAGTAGCCGGTGAAAGTTCCTACCATAAGCTCTCTTCTGTTCTTGAGCCACAAAAAGGCACTGGGAACAAGCAAGTCTCTCGGAAACCTGTCCTTATGAGTAGCCTGCTCTCCAAGGTCAATAATCTGCTTCTCAGAAGAAAAACCACCGCTTGCGGTGAATGGCCAGATAATGACTTTTTCTTCAAAGGTCCCCAAGAAAAGCACCCCGGTACCATTGCCATCTTCGGTAGCAAACATGGAACTTATGTCCACATCGATATCTAGGGAAAACACAGTCTCCAAACAAGCCTCTGGATTAACAGAACCATTCATGTCCGGTGCATTCACCTCCACGACTTCAAGATTAACTTTATTTGCCTGTTCCACAATCATGAAGAGAAAACCAGCCGCCTGTGAGACATGATGGATCATTTTGTCTTCAAGTCTGCTGGTGAAGCAATCCTCTAGACTCGAAAATGTCACGCTTGTGGCAGTAAATTGAAGGAGAAGGGGTTCTTTAAATGGAATCAAATCCACAAACAAAGTCGGCTCCTCAGTAAATATGGCAGGATCCTCGATTTCGGTGAACATATCTCCATAATCGGAGCCAGAATCATCGCTGGACTCGTCCTGCTCTAGTTCAAGAAGCCTGGTCTCAAAAGGTAGCGATGCAAACAAAAGCTTTCTTGAATCTGGAAGAAGAACAAAATGTATTTTTGTCGTCTTTCGAAGCGCATCATAGGACTTGCACTCCTTCTTCAACGGGTAAGCTATGCTGAGGTTTGCCAACTTACTTCTCTTTCCCGCTCCCGAAACAGCCCATAGCTCTTGAGAAGCGTAAGGAATCTGGGTTCTTGTCTTGTAAGCGTCGATGATACAAATGTCGACCAATGGGGCCCAATTCTTGTAATCCTGGATCTGCAGGGCATCCGAGTAGGGGATTTTATCTGCCGACTCTAGATCATGAAAAAGCTCGGGTATATGCAAATGTCTAGCACTGCCAGCATCGTTCGAGTAGCGTAGGTAATAGCCACTGGAAGCACGATGGAGTGTGAACGTGGTTATGGCGTCTGCGACACGCAAAATGGGTTTATAGGTCAAACTCGAGTTATCGCCGGATACAACAACTGAGTAGATGACGCCAGAGTCGGAAGCAAGGAAAATCTCGTCTTCGATGCCATCTGACTCTGGTAATGCAAAGGATGTAGGGAAGGAGCCGGCATAGTTGAATCTAGCAAACGTGTAGTCCGCCAGAATAACGTTATGGGCGGTGACCACGACGAATTCGGCTGGGAACATAAACAAAAAGCTGCTGTTTCTTGCCAAAGGTATCACAAATATGGGAAGGCCAAATTCGTGTGTAAGTGGGAGCGTCAGTCTTCTGGAACCGTCCGAAAAAGATTCGGAGACATACCACTGGAACAAGGTGATCTCCAAGCGGTTCATTGGGCTGTAGGAGAGGGTCAATAATTGTAGAAGATTCTCTTCGGTTGCGTCACCAGGAGATCGACCAAAACACACATGCAAGATGTTGCCTTCAAGGGGCACGTTGTGGTGGGGCAGAAGCTCCAAGCCCAATTCTGTGCTGTTGCACATGTAGATTCTGAAGACGTTGGCAGCCAGGGCTGAAACCACCGCTAGTCCATTATCGTGAGCAGCCAAAATGGAGCCAGAAGTCTCCATATCGAAGCCAGAGTCTGCAGTAGGAGAAGTCGTTTTCCACCACTGCACCACAAACGGTTTGTATATGAATGTTTGGTCGTCCGGCGGTTTTTGGTCGTGTAGACTTGTTTCTGAGGCGTATTTTGGCATGTAGTAGAGACGAATTAGTAGAAGAAAGCCCAGTTTGAGGGAGACCAAGAGTGAATCTTCCGCCTTTTCACCGCCTGGGATAAGAATGGCATCTCGAAGAGCCGAGGAGAACGGAAACTCAATCCCATTGATGCTGAGCGAGCCCAATTTCACGATAACGTTGACAGGCACAATCTGAGAAGCTCTCTGAGCCAGACCGCTTTCCTCTGCTTTCCACAAGATCTCTCCATCGTCGTCCTCGCTCATATCGTCTCCAAAAAAAGAGTCAGCTTCAGGAGGATGAAGCAGCTGTTCCCGTTCGTCGTTGATACTTCGAGACGGAAGGCCCGTCCACGGTTTGTGAATGTCGACTTTGAAATGTGGGAGAAACCGGAGAATAAGCGGGGAATGGAGGAGCGTCTCCTTGGTGAAGACGGTTTCTGGTTTTGGAGGTGGATCCTCCACGAGCCACGCTAGCGGGTCTGGCTCTGTGGCAGACGGTTCCAAGTCCATGGGAGGCTATAGGGATGTTTTGAACAACGTGGGTGGACGGGGAATTTAAGGATGTTTATCCAGGGTATTGGTGATCCAGGGTTCCAGTTCTGTGGATCCCAGTTCTGTGGATGTGGATTTGAATTATAGGGATATATAGTCTGATATTGAATAATAACAAAATCGTTTGTTTAAGGAGATTTGGACCTTCAGGAGGAGTGTCTGTCCAATTGGCGGTGTGGCACGTCTCTAGGGTATACGTGATCTGGATCGATATCTGTGGATATTGGACGAATTCAATTCCAGAAAGATGGGAATTCCTTCAATTTATAGGTAAATATGTCAACTTATATATGGAATCCTCCGCAGGCACGGTGCAGACTGTTATGACGTGGGGTTCTTGGAAATAGGATTGAGTGGGTAGTAGTTGATATCAGTGCGCATCAGGCCGATATCCAGAGAATGAGATGGAGTGGAGGTTTAGACAATTTAACAATTTCGTCAGAAAAGGGAATTTATTTAAAAAGAAGGAGGAAAGTGGATTTGTTGATTTGGGATTTTCGAAGAATTTGTGGGGTGGTTGTGTCAGGTACGGCTGATGGGCTAATTTGCACCCATTTCTCGGTCTCCATAGTGTTGAGATTCCAGTCAGCATTGAGGGTGTTTAGATAAGTTTCACAGTTGAAAGAGCGTGGTTGATTGATGTTTGGTAACATTGAGTGAATTTAAGGAGATTACGGAGAAATGTGTCAGAAAGTGCCAAACTGTTGATTTCAATGCTGGAGTCCATATGAATCATATTGAAGCCATGTCCAAGGTTTTATATCATTTACCTAACTTTCAATGGAAGTAACACAGAAGAATAGCCTATATATTTACTTTGAACCTAGGTTATCTCAATTGAAAGCATATCAGTGTATCAGCTCCTCTCCAGTCCACCATCTCTATTACTGCAAGGTTACGACAACCCAGCCCAAAGTAGCTAATATCAACCAATTGTACAACTTCCTCTCAAGCATACCGTTTACAGCGTCATTTTTAAAGCATCTGAAAATCATGTTTTTCGTCCAACTACCCCCACTTCACAGTCCTCATTCCACTCCACCTTTACTACTACCACACCATCACCAACCCGCCAGAAAGTCTTTCCATCATTTCTGTAGACTATTATAGTGATGATTTAAATCGCTATATGCTATATCAAGATTGCGCTTTTCCATACTCACAATATTTGAATAGTGATCCACCAGCTTTTAGATATCCATCTCTACCACAAGGCCATGGAAGCCAGTTAATATAAACCGGGAAACAACTCCCCTTAAGAAAAAGCAAAAGTCCTTTTTAAATCTGTTTCACCTAGAAATCATCTTTTATCCAAATTCCACCTTTCCTTCTACCAACTCCACCATCACCATCACCATCACCAACTCCACCACACAACTCCACCACCATCCCAATTCCAAAAACCCAATAAACCCCCTCAGAAACCACCACCTCCAAAACCCAATCCCAAAAATCTAAATCGTCCAAACCTCCCCACTATAAAACCCCCTTCGCGTGGCTGCAAAACTTTCTCAAACTCATACCACTTCTTTTCCTCATGCCCAAACTCACCCTGACTTGGGCGCTCCTTTTCTTCTACTTCCTTGCCGCCGCCCTCTACGGCATCGAGCTGCACGCGTTCGTGGCCTCCTTTGCCCTCCTTCCAGAGGCCCTTCCATGGCAATACGTCCTTCTTTGGAGCTCGGTGCCCCTTGGAGCCACCAGTATGTGAAGACCCGTAGAAAAACAGAAAAATTGGTACTAACCAGAGTCGCGTGCTTGGGAACTCCCTTTTTAGTGGATTTTGCCGGTTCTGTGGCCTCCGTCCAGCTTGGTTTTGTCGTTTGGACCGCTGCTTCGGTGGGTCTTGTTTTTGTCGAAAACATCTTCCTTTTGATGGTCGGCCGGGCCTTGGTGGGCGCCGGGGCCGGGATGGCGATGGCAGGAGGCCTTGTTTACACGTCTCAGATGGCCAAGTTCCGTGGTTTTGCCGTTCTGGCCGCTTTTGTGGGTGGTGTTTGTGGCAAAATGGTGGGACGCGTCGTTGAGGCGATTTTGGAGAGAAACGCTACGGAAAAGTGGCAAATAAAAGCACCGTTTGTGGTTCAGGCCGTCTGGGCGGCGCTTTTGGTGCTTTTGGGCTTCTTTTTCCTAGAGTACCCGCCCTGGCTTCAGTGGAGAGGGTTTCTTGAAAGCGCCAACGAAACACGCTACGCGTTGGCGCCACGGGCTTTTCCCGAAAACGGCCGTCCATGCTCGTGGAAACAGCTTTTGGAAAACCACAAATGGAGCCTTCTGAGGGCGGTTCTTTGCCAGATCTGGCTCCACTTGACCGGCGTGTCTGCGATGGTGTTTTGTCTTCCCGTGCTTCTTCCGCTGTTTCAGCGTGGAGGTTACGGTGACGTGGCGTTTTACGCCGTTCACGGCCTTATGGCGGGAGCAGCGGTGCTAGCGACTCCAGTAAGTCAGTGGGGTTCACGGCGGTTTTTCTTGATGTACGGCTACGGTCTTCTTGGGGGCTCGTTTGCGACGCTTTTCGGGCTATTTATGCATTTCGGGCAGCCCAGCAACGGGGAAATCTTGAATGTTGTTCTCCCTCCTGAAATAGCATCCTGGGGGTTGGCGGTGTTCTTTTTCGTCTTCACCGTGGATGCCCTCTACATCTCGCCGTTGGCTGCCCAGTACACCGTGGAGGTGCTTCCCAGGGAGGCATATTCCAAGGGCATCGGTATTTCTATGGCATTTTCGTGGCTTTTTTACGGAGCCTCTATGTTTGGCGTGCCGTTGGTATTCCGGGCTCTTCAGGAATGGGCGTTTCTCGTACTCGGATTGAGCTGCTTTGCGGGGGCACTTCTTTTGGCATTCTTCCCATGCAAGAAGGAGGAAGAGGTCTGGGAGACGGAAATCCCGACTCCTGTAGCTGCTCCTTTGAAGCCCAAGTCGTCGCTCCATGCCCTGGAAGTACTGGCAGATCCTCCGCTTGTCTTTACTAAACGCAGCTCAGAGTTTCCAACTTTTGGCAAGAACGTCGCCAAATTGCTCCCCGCTCACCAGAAGCTGCTGGAATCAAGCGACCCTGTTCCCTCCAAGGAATTACCGTTGGTGACTGCCAGACAGTTTTCAGAAAACGAGTCCTCTAGTGCCCAGTCCACGGTGATTCTTCAAACCGCCAAAGCCCACCAGAGCGTGAAGCTGCAGCTTGGCTCGCATTTGAACGGCTTGTGGTCGCCCAGTGAAGTCGAGTTTAAAAGACTGGAGGAGCCTGGCATGGATCGCGGTGGATTGAAGGAAGAGTTTGAAGCTCCAGGTCTCTTTGGCGAGGCCGAGCAGCCCGTAGCGCTTTTTGGAAGAAGGCTGGGGAAAAGAGGCCTCCTCAATGCCAATACGGCTTCCTCCTAGGAGGGCTGCTCTTGATGATTGATGTGATTGATGTGATTGATATGAATATATGATTTATGTGTGAGGTGTTGGGATGAATGTTTTAGTGAGGCTTTCGATAACTTAAAAGATTTGCTAAGGCATAAGAAGAGCTCTAGTACTTATTTGATCCAATTGGTGTTGCTCAATTGGCTTGATTGATATATGTCTTTTAGAGATACTCAATTGGTCTCACTTCCCAATACCAAAGGATCAAGCGCTTGAGACGAAAGAAATAGGCAATTGTTTCAAAAATTCCCGTAATTTCGATAAGAAGGAGAATTTGAATCAATTGCTCGAATAATACAGAAGATCAGGATTATCATCACCTCATTCAAATACAAGGTCTACCATAGACTTCCTTCTTCCACACGCAAAACCCCCACCAACATAAACAAAAACTTCAATTTATCCAACAATCAAGTTGAATTAAATTCAGAAAAATCAAAAACTAACAAATTTCTAAAATTCCAAAATTCAATAATCCAGATCGACTCACCCGAGCCCTCCATACCTGCACTCCTGCGACATCAACAACCACCTACTTCTTTATCAAAATGTCCCACAACTACTCCCAGGTGGGCCAGAACGACGTGCCTGACTTGATTGAACAGGACGGTATGTACCGCTAGAAAAATCCCGTTTCAACGGTGTTTTCGGATTCTCGCTAACCCCAGATTTCGCCCCTCCACCTCAAAATCAACAGACTCCTCTACAACCAGATGTTGTAAAGCCACAGGTGCCTGAAGCTGCCAGCAGCATGTTCCAGGTGAGGTTTTACAGTGGCTATTTTGACATAAATACCGAGGAATTCTTTGCTAAAATCAGACTTGCGTTGGATCCGTTCCAGAAAGCTTCCGTGTTGGCTAGTCAGAATGAGGATGAAACCACGGAATTGTACGGTGCCATTTGGGTCACCGCCACGCTTATTTTCCTTGTTTTCGTGTCGTCGACGGGCGCCAACATCGTGTCCCATTGGCTCTATTTGGGAGACGAAAACGGCGGAAAGTACGAATACGACTTTGACCGTTTGACCGTGTCCATGTCGCTTTTCTACGGCTACATTGCGCTTGTTCCGCTTGCGTTGTACGCTGTGACCACGTGGTGGTTGAAGTTTGCCGATAGACTCTCGTTGACCCGCTTGGTGTCCATTTACGGCTATGCTAACGTGCTCTGGGTGCCGCTTACGGTGATCAACTTTGTTCTTGTGGTATTCGTGAGCAGCAAGAACCACAAGGTGCTTTTGAACGTGTTTGAGTGGGTTTCTGTGTTGCTCAGCGGCGCTGTGACGGGCCTCAGTATCATCTTGAAGGTGAAACCGGTGATCCTCAAGAACTCCTTGGATCTTGCCGAGGGCAACGTCGAGCAAGGAACGAAAAATCACCACGTTTTGGTGCTTGCGCTCTGCCTTGTCCACTTGGCCTTTACGATTTTGGTCAAAATCTCGTTCTTTGGCATAAACTAAGCTACGTCAGTTGAGGTACCTATGGTGGAGAACACGACGGGGCCTCTTGCGCCGACCAGCAATGCAAATGTGGTACTGGATCCAGGGAATCTCGTCAACCTCGCTTAAATTGACTCGTAAGTACGGGTTGACATGGAGAAAACGGCTGATGAGATCGCCTGCAATCCCTTCCAAATGCCGTGAACTGGGATAAGCTCCGGCAAGGATCTTCTCGCTGTATGTGGCCCCGTCGGATGCAAGGAACGGCCGTTTGCCTGTGAGGAGTCTGTAACATACCACACCGAACGACCAGACATCCGTTTTGTACGTATATGGCTGTGACAGAATCATCTCAGGTGACATCCAGCCCCGAGTACCGCCATACCCTGTATTTGCTTCATGCGGGTTGATGGCTACGGCAATTCCGAAATCGCCGATCTTGACCACACCATTGGACAGCAAGAAAATGTTGCTTTCCTTGATGTCTCGGTGGATCACACCTTGGTTATGGATGTGGTTAAGCCCCAGGGCGATTTGGCTGATGTACCACGCTGCTAAGGACTGGTCAATCCGGTAGTGAGGCGCCAGCTTGATCTGATCCCGCAAAGTGCCGCCGCCATAGAACTGCTGGACAATGTTCAAATGCGTTGGCGTGCAATAGAGGCCCAAAACCACCGCTACGTTTTTGTGTGACATGAGCGATTGGAGCTCGGGCTCAGCAAGAAGCTTCAGGAGTTTCTTCTTGCCCAATGGTATCACCTTGATGGCACACACCCGACTGGTAACGAGATTGCGAGCCTTGTGGACCTGGCCATACCCGCCCAGGCCAATTTGGCAGATAAGCCTGTAATCTTCGGGAGACTCCGTATTAAGAAAACTTAGGCCCGGCTCAGGACTCGGAGGACGGCTGCGACTACAAGGAGCTGGAGGTGGAGAGACGGAGGAGGTTTGCGAGTTCAATTCTGCGTTTAAACCCTCGTGCAAGCCCATGATCAGGCTCTGGAGAATTCCTGTCGAAGGAAACAATGGAGAGATACCTCTTGCGCTGTCCATGGTGTGGCCAGAGAAAAGAAGTGTTGTAGAAGCCTGTCACAAAGACAAGCGCGGTTCCAATGGGGGGGTGTTCCAAGGTCAAAGATTGTGACAGCGGGGGTTCCTAATATTTCGGATGGAGAGAGATTTTGCTCGAGGGCCCTGGGTGTTTTGAGTATACTGTCTCTGTTGTTGTTCGTTTGCGTCGTTCTATACCAATTTTGCAGCCATTTCAGGTTGGGGGAAAATGAGCAAATTGAGGCCCTTTTTGAGCGATGTGGCATTTTTTGGCATTTAATCGTCAAAAAAAACCCGAATATACCCAAAATCCCTCCAAAGCTCCAACCCTTCTAAGGGCTCTTCCTTCCCACGCTCGTGGTGAAGCCCTAAGGACGTGCGCGGACCAGACCATCGCGACTATATAAAGCAAAGATTTCCATTTTTCTCACCACATTCAAACCACATCTGCAGATCTGTGGAAAGTGGCGAATCAAAAGTATGTTCCTCATATAAGGGCGAAGATTATTTGCATTTTACCAATTGTTCCAACTGAATGTTCCGGGTTGACAACCGCATTATCGTTAAGTTTCAGCCTTGTATGAGCCCACCAACATCCCAAGCTTGTTACTAATCATCAGTGTATGTTTTCACCTCAGTTGTTTTCATGACGAAACTTGTGACCGGGCGGACATAACGCTCCACTGGCCCCTCTTTGTACAATTAGGGAGGAGTCACGTTTCTGTGTACATTTTTTTGAAGCGTTGGTCAGTGGGAGTTGATGATAGGTCTTTTTCTGACTCGATTCCAATCTTGGGAAGGTACTAACCCGTAGAGGCATGCTCTGATTTGCCGCTTTTCACACGTCTGCCGATGTGTGGCTCATGCTAGCCAGAATGATGATGTTCATATATTCACACTGTACTAGGGGCTCTGCCTCGCTGACTACAAAAACACAAAACTGATTTAATGACTCTGACATGGCAGCTTGCAGCATACTCGACTTACTGGAGGTTTGTTCTTTTGATGGACGTCTCCAGGTTCTCTCACTTCACCTATTACCTTGTGCTTGATTCAAGCACGCTTGATTGGTTGGTTCGGATTGTTTTTCTGAATTGTCAGATCAACCGCCAGACCAACCAGCTAAACATCAAAAAGCCCACCCTTCTTCAACTACATCCATCCCATGCCCTTCCCACTAAGTGGTCTGACTTTGGCTGCGAAAAGAGTATACCACTTATTTCTCGCCACCGAGCTGCCACAAAACCAAAAACACCTCACCACAAACCTTTTAAGCTTCTCCTCCACCCCATCAACAAAAAACCCCAAATATCATCCTCTAAACCGCCGTTTCTGATACCTGGAAAACCGGCGCGCCTGCACACAAGCACATCAACCTCTGCTACCGCTTTTGTCATTTTCAAGAACCAAGCTACAATTCGTTCCTTCAAGCTACACACATCCAGGCGTTTTAGCAGCGTGTTTTCTGCATTTGCATTCCTCACATGCCACTAATACTTCGGCGGCTCGGCCCGCTAAGGCTCATGAGGCTCAATCTTCGACATTTTTCACTCCTACCGAATCTACGATGTACGCTACTATCCACTTCCAAGCCGCCCAGAGCACGCCAATTTGTCCGAAACGCGTCCTCCATGGCCAGAACGGCCACATCGTCCAAAAAAGAGCTCAAAATTCCGCAATCTGAGCGTGTAATCCAGGACCTAGATCTCCAGAACCGCTACATCGATCAACTACGAAATACGCTGTCTTTTACCAACGAGGATTTGACCGCAATCAGCGAATTGTTTACCCAGGCCGTGGAGCTAGCCTCCAGCGACTTATCGGAGGAAGCGTACCGCTTTGTGGTGCGTCTATGGCTTGCTGTTTTCAAAGAACGCAGAGGAGGGCCTAACCTCGAGAAAATCTTGCTCAGATCCAGGGGCAAGGTGGCAAATCTTTGCGTTAATAATCTAGACTACAAGCTGTACCTTGAATGCACCGGAGTGCTTCCAAAAACACCGTTGTGGGCAGATACGGTGGCTCAAACTCTCCAGTTTCTGCTTCTGAACAAAGGCGAGCTTCAGTTCAGCAGCTCCAGCATCACCGGGTACCTCCGGGGGCTTGAAAGCACGGAGAACAAAAGGAGGATGTTGGCGACTTTTCTCCGGAAAGCGCTTCTTTACTCCCCACTGAACCACGACTTCGCCAGAATCCTCACTGCATTTGTCAAATTCGCCAACGACGTCGGCGACGGCGATCTCCTTTTAATACAACCAGAGCACGCCGTCTACCGCAAGGCACTCAGCATCTTGAGCAGGCCCAGAGGCTCCTCCTCGGTGGGCAGCCATATCCATTTAATCGAGGGGGTGCTTTTAAGAAGCGAATACGGCAACAAAGCCGTTTTGTCCAATCTCCTCACGACGCTTCTGCTGGCTACAGTGACCAAAAGACCGTCGATCGCCTTGGAGTACTTCAAGTTCAAGGAAAACTTGAGTCTGGGCTCGTACAAGGTGAACGAGTACCTTACCGAAAACGACCTTCTGACGGCCATGTGGGCGCTTTTCCTCAGCAGCAAGTACCAGGAGTGCTTGGAGCTTTACCTGAAATACCCTACTCTCCATGGCGAGGAGCAAATCGACATTTTCCTTCGAATCAGCGAAAAAACGAAAGACTGGCTGCATTTGCAAAAACAGTTCGAAGACATGTACGGCCAGGGCGATCTCCCGTACGTCCAGCACTACGCCATTGTGATGAACGCCTTGGCTTCCATCAAGGTTGTCAAGGAGGTCGACGAGCTCTACGAACAGCTTCTCCAGAGAAACTTGACTCCAACCTGCGAAATCCACGCAGCAGTCATAAAAAGCCGTATGGCCGTCAAGGACTACGACGGGGCGCAGGCGAAGTTTGAGGATTTTCTTGAAAAATACGAGAACGGCGCTGTGGCAGAAGGAAGTGTGGCTAGAGTCCATGCGTTGATTTTCGATCTCCATCTCCACACAAGCAGTCTTCCTGATTTGATGAATGCGCTTCAGCAGGTGATAAAACGTCAGAAAACAAGCCTGGTGCCGTTGATCGACACGAAGCTTCTCTGCGATGTCATCAGTGCCGTTGGAGCCAATTACGGTGTTCGTGAGTTGGACCAGCTCTGGGAGATTGCTGAGCGATTTTCCATGAAAACAGAGGAGGTTTACGAAAAAACCATCAATGCACTTACGAGGTTTGGCGAGTACGAAAGAGCCGATGCGCTTACGTTTGAAGCCCAGTTGGATTCGCTTGTTCCGTTTACAAGCTCACTCATCGCTAAAGCTCAACTTAAAAACTTGAGAAGCTGGTACAATGCATCCACGGACCGGGATTTCAAGCCGTTTTTGGCTGCCAAAACAATGACGGTCTTGCGGCGTCTCGACCAGGGCAAAATGTCGTTGAAGAACAGGTCCAATTTACTCACCGAGGCCATCAAGTTTGAGTTGTCTTTGAACAGAAGAAAAACGGCCAGAACGTACTTGGACCAGGCGAAATCCTTGGAATCTGCCACCGAACAGCACTACCTCCCGTTTTTGAAGTACTACTGCCAGGCCGGATCCTACAAAGGTGCCAGTACTGTTTTGGAGCTCTACCGAGAAATGGCGGCTGAAAAGATCGAAATGACGTCCAAGACGTATGTCTACTTGATCAGAGCGTTGATTGAAATCGACAGAGCCAACTCCGACAACTACAACAATTCCTACAAGTTGTTGGAGTCTGTTTTTGAGCTTTACGGATTGTCGATGTTTGAGCATCTCAAGCCTTTGAGAGCCTCCAGTGGAGATATGCACCGTCACGCCGAGAATCTCTTGAAAATTGTTACGACGTATGTGACCGCCACCTCGAGCCTGATTCACCTGAACATGGATCTTGTGGTGCACTTTCTCAACCAAATGAGGGACAGACTTGGCGATCGAATCCCGCTTCGTTTCAGATTGGCGATTTTCAAGGAAATGGGTATTCTTTACCGTTTGGGCGGCGACAACACCACAGCGAAAAAGATGATCCTCAATGCTCTTGAAGAGCTCAACGACATTGCAGACAATTACAGAAAGAGTGTTTCAAATAACGCTTTTCCTGCTCAATTACCAAAGCTTCTCCAATTGGATTACAGACAGATTGTGGAGGTTTTGCTTCCGGTGTTCCGTGAGCTCAAAACTCCTCCAGACGAATACGAAAAGCTAGCCTTATCGTTGTTGGATCGCAATGTTCACCTAGCAGGTCCCTTATTCCGTCCAATTATCGAGCACATCATGAAAGGTGAACCCAGTGAAACCAAGGTCAGAGCAATTCTCGATATCTGTGAACGTTTCCTTGTTTCAGGAACCTGGGTCACCGCCAACATCGAAAAGAAGCAGCAGTATGTCTACAAATTGTTCATTCTCTTTCTCACCAGACGGATGCCCGAGAAGAGGATTCTCGAAAACTACAGCATATTCAACAAGTACTACAACGTCCAAAGCATAGACGAGTTGAGGAAGGAATTCAAAAACACCACTAATTACGCCGGGGAGTTGCAACAGGCTCTAGACGAATATGGCCGTCTCACCACCTTCAGATGGAAAATTCCCCAGCTTCTCAAGGACCCCCACAAGTTTTTCCTTCCTGGACGAAGCATCTCCTCCAAAAACGTCATGGACCCCAAAATGACCGCAAAGTTATACGCCTTTGTCGGGAAGTACAGTGAGGACGACCGGACCAAAGCATTCAAACTTTACGAGGACTTCCCAGACACCATGGAGTACCTCTTGTATTATGGACAGGCCAGAACACGGCTCCAAGCATTCAGAAACGAAATCGACGAGATCCAACCGCCTCTGGCATCGTCGGAAAACGAGGGAAGAAAGTACAGAAGGTTCCGGACGTACCGTGTATTGCGGAAGTCGATGAAGCTTCTCTCACGCTAAGCATCCCCAAGTGTTCCCCCACGTCGCTACAGTGACACCACCATTCGCATGCTGTGTCGGCTCGCTAGCTGCTGATGCAACCTCATGTATATAGACGCAATGCTAGTTACTCGGACTTTTTCTTGGGCTTCTTCACCTCGGGAAACGTGAAGGTCAGCTCCGTAGTGGTGCTTCCGTAGAGCAAGGGCCCGACCCAGGGCTGGATGTTCCACTCCAACCGAAGAGTAGCGTCTCTGCCTCTAAACGAACGCTCCACGTCCCAAACAGAGTACTTTGATCTCTGGTTCTTCAAGTGCAACACCGCGTCCTCGGGCGACGTGATGATCTTGTCCCAGTACGTGACCTTGTTGGAGGCCTTGTCGGTCTTTCCCTCGTATTCTGCTGTCAAGTAGACAAACACCTGTTTCGTGTTCCAGTTAAAAAGAGAGGTCAAGTCGGCGTCCAAGTCAAACTGGATCTTGGAGTTCTCCTTTGGTTTGCCGCCCACGGCGCCGTATGCAAACAGGTTCTTCAACGAAGCGTTGGCCTTGATGTTGGATATCAGGGACGTGTCGATTCTCCAGACATCGTCTTTGAAGAGCTGGAGAATTGAGAGGAACACGACCAAGGCAGCAGCAACAGCAGAAGCCGTCAACGACTGGTTGACCACGGCCTGGCCTCTTGAAAGTAGACTGAACATGTGGTTGATTAATTGAGTTGGTGAGGTGGTGAGTTTTCTGTTGAGGGAGGGTCTGTGTATGCAGGTCACCTTTTGCAGCCACCACCAACGTCACAAGTTCTCTTCAATTGAAGTGGGTTTGGAAATTGGTGATTGAAGTGTCGTTCAATTCTTCAAGGATTGTGTTTTGAAGGAGCTAGGAGCTTTCAGGGTGGCATAGAAAACCAGCCACAGGTATAGTAGTACCTCTAGATCCATCAACCAACGACATTAGAAGTATTGCAATGAAGAAATCACCACCAACAGCTCTATCATTCAGAATCACCTCATACCTTAATCACTTAATCAAAACCAGGCTGAATTGCCCAGCCCAGATCCCAATTCTTCCTCTAACTCCCCCATTGGTCACCTAATTTCCAACCTTCTGGAGGTACTCCTGGTGGAGCTTCTCCTGCTGCTGCTGCTGCTTCGTCAATTTCTTACGCATGCTCTTGGTCACCTCCTCGCCAGCAGCCGTCTTGGTAGGAAGTCCCTGCTCGTCCCACTCAGAGTACAAACTAGTATCCTTGAAAAGATCCTGTGGAGGCACCTTGGCCTTTTCGAGTCTCTCCTGCTCCTTTTTAGCGTTAGCGGCAGCCTGCTCCTGCTTCTTCTTCTCCTTTTGGAGCGCCTGCTCCTTCTTGAGTTCTTGCTGTTTGAGAAACTCGGCTCTTTCCTGCTCGTTGAGGAACTTCACCAAAGCTCCACCGTTGGGCCTGTCGTCGAGGGAAATGCCGAGGTTGATGAGGTCAGCACGCAAGGCGTCGGAGGCCTGCAAGATGGCGGACGATTCAGCCTTGTTCTTGGCCAATTCACGAACAGTGTCTCTGAACTGAGAAAGCGCCTTGACGTATGGCATAGCGATTTCCTCAGAAGAACCACCGGAACCGCTTTCGGCACCGTCTTCCCAGCCCAAACCGTCGGATCTGGCAGGGAAACCGAGGATATCGAGGATTTTCACGATCCACTTGGTGATCGCAAGCACAGGCTCAAGACGCAACTCGTTTTCGCCCGTCACCGTCGACTGGATGTAGGTGTTGGTTTTGGAAATCAATTCCTGGACCACTCTGAGCACAATGGGCGTGGAGAGGTTGTCACAGAAAGCAGCGTGAGCGTCGTTTTGGGCCTGAGCCAAATCAGCCAAAAGCGCCTTTTCCACGTCGCCAAGTCTCTTGGAAACATACTGGCCCAGCGAGACGGCGTGTCTATAATCGGAGTTCAACGCACGGACGTTGGTGAAGAACTTCAGCAAAGTCAGCTCGTAGGCCTTCACCTCGCTGATCAAGGCGTCCTTGAAGTCAATGGGCTTGTCCCAGTTGCCAAAGGCGAAAACAAGCCTGAGTTGTCTGGCAGAATGGGTCTCCAACGCCTCTTCTATGGTGATGAAGTTTTTCAACGATTTGGACATTTTCTGGCCCTGGATGTGCAAATGGCCATTGTGCATGAAGTAGTTGATCCACTGCTTGTTGTTGAAGCAGGCTTCCGACTGGGCAAGCTCGTTGTCGTGGTGGGGGAAGCACAAGTCGACTCCTCCGCTGTGAATATCGATAACTTCACCCAAAATGTCCGAAGCCATCACCGAACATTCAATGTGCCATCCTGGTCTGCCAGGACCCCATTTCGAATCCCAGGCAGGCTCACCAGGCTTGGAAGCTTTCCAAAGAGCAAAATCCGCAGGCAGTTTCTTGGAAGTGCCGTCTAGAGACAAGGAGCCTTCTCCATCGTTGATAAGCTCCAACAGGCCCTTGTTCCAGGGCTGCAACTTGGCGTAGTCGTGGTTGGGGTCGTTTTCAAAACGCACCGTGTCGAAATACACCGATCCGTCCTTGGTGGCGTACGCAAAACCGTTGCTGATAATCCTCTCCACAAATGCTATAATGTCAGGAACATACTCGCTGACACGCGTGGTGACGGTGGGCTGGAGCACATTGAGCCTGTCCATGTCCTGGTTGAACTTGTTTTCCCAGAAAGCGGGCAATTTTCTGAAAATCTCCGGGTCTGTGACGGTGGAACCGTGTTTTTTGTCCAAACTGGGCACCAGGACGTCTTTTACCGCCGCCAAAAAGCGCTTGATATCCGTTTCCGGCTTGAAAATCGCCTGGTGGGCATCACGGGCCGCCTTGGCGTACATGGGGAGCTTGGGCTGCTCGACAGCCAATTCCTGAAGATTCAAGGAATCAAGCCATGCCACCAAACCAGGCAACTCGGCATCAAAACCGGCAAGATTCTTCGCCACGTACTCCTTCAAGTACGTCTTGGCGTGTTCTAGAAGCACCTCGTCCACCTCCTTGTACTGGGCCTCCATCTGCTCAAACAAATACTCGTGACGTGCCGCCACAATGATCTTATCATCAATATCAGTCACATTCTGGACAAACTCCACGTTGTAGCCAAAGTAGTCCTGCAAAATACGACGACAAATGTCGCTGCACACGTAGTTCCTGGCGTGGCCCATGTGGGCGTGGTTGTACACGGTGGGACCACAGCAGTACCACGTTATCTGGTTGTGGTTCAAAGGCACAAAGGTCTCCTTGTTCCTGGTGAGGGAGTTGTAGAGCTTCAAGGCTGGCTTTTCGCCTGCAGGTACTTTGGGAGGGTACCAAGGCGGCTGGGTGACTTTTCTTGCTGCTGTGGTGGTACTCATGGCTAGACGAGAGAAGAGTTTTCTGACCATGGGTTGGAAAATCTCTTGATGGGGAGGATGTAGGCGGGGTCACGTGATGGCGAGACGAATATTGGGATTTTGACGGGGATGGGGAGAGATTTTTTCTTTGGAGGGGGTGGGGTGGAAGGGTTTGAGGGAAACGGGAGGATTGGGTTGGAGGAGGGGTGTGGTTTTGTGTGTTTTGGTGCTTCCATGGTGCATTCGCGAGGTGCTCAGTTAGTGGTGGGTTTGATATTCGGTTTGATATTTGGATTCGAGGGAGGGTTCTCGAGGAAAAGGGGTTTAATTAGAAGGGTTTTGTGGATTTGAGGTGATAGAGTGGATTTGAGCCAGTGGGGTGCCTTTTGTTTGAGGTTTGGTGGTCATGGTACGATGGTAGTATGGCTGCGAAACCATAGGTGGATGGACCATGGTAGGGTAATTGGGGGGTGGTAAGAGGAGGGGGTTGATAGCAGGAAACGGAGGGATAGGTCGATTCTTAAGAGAAAGGTACTGTTTCTGGGAAGCCAATTGAGATGACTAAAGGGGCACCTTCCTTTGTAACCACATAAGGAGAAGTGGAAATGGTACTTCGATCATCAAGAATGAAAGGAAAAAGTAGAAGACGAATATTCGTGGATCCAGTGTTTGAGAATTGGGCTGTGGTTTGGGAAGAGCAGGAAGCTTTTGTAAGATGTACATCTCCATCACAGTAGTTAATGTGAGATAAGGCACCTTTACCTTCAACAATTCAGTCAAAACCACCAACCAAAAGCAAGGACTGGCTCCTAGTCAATTCGATTCAACCGATTCAGCAAATCAGTGCATCAGTGATTTAGAAATTCTTCCTGGATAGAGGGTAATCGATAACAGTATACGGTATACCTCTACCTCTTCTAGACCAGTATACCGGGATCAGCAAGAGACGGCCAACCGAAAGCATCTTGTTGATACTCCCACCGAACAATTGGATACCTTGATCATATTATTCATCATCCTAATCATACAGATTAGAACCACTACGAGTGGATGCCTGGCATCACCAATCCTTCATGTTAATATCGCTGGAAAGTCAGAAAAAAAGGTTGTTTGCATGTCGAGACAGACCCATAATGAAACTAGGCGTGTTTCGGTGCCTGCCCCACTCAAACGCAAATTATATCATCATCCTCCAACATACTGTTGATTGTGGAGTTTTCGATGGATCAGCGCGTGCTTATATAGTGGCACTGGGTGCACGGGTTTTGGACCCTGCCACTACTATAGCCATTAGAGATATAATAGAGGGCAGAGTAACGTTGTTTTGAGAGTGAAAGGCTGATCTGGGGGCCCCTTCGTGTTCTATTAAGATTCTGGTGTCGAGGGCTTCAGCCCTAATGTGCCACGTGACCAGTACACCCCAGCTCAAGCGCTCACCACCGCGGCAGCTTAACTATGGTGAGCAGCCTATCTGCAGTACGGAAACCTCACACAGTGAGCAGCCTTCAGTACAGTGCAGCGAGAGATGGTGAGAAAAAGCGCATTATCTGCAGTACCATCCACAGGCAGTGAGGGTTGGAAAAAAAAAAATTTTATGCTGGAAAAGAAGCTTTCTTAGATTCTCCAACTTTTTCCACACACGAATCATGTCTACCACCGTGAAAACCGCCAACTGGAGATACGTCGAGTCCGGCCGTATTGTGTTGATTGACAACTCCAAATTGGCCACCATCGTTGAGATCATCGACCAGAAGAGAGTATGTAACCTCCGTCGAAAACGCCCATTTTCCCAGATATCGAGAAGCCAAGCACACCACCGTGTTCTCTGAACCAAGACGAACACAACGGTGCTATTCCCACGTCCAAACTCCCACTCCACGTCAAGATACCCCGAGATCCCGTAATCCATCAAATCCTGTTAAATCCCCCTTCCGATATCAACAACCCCCTTTTGTACATTATACTAACTGCCAGGTCTTGATTGACGGTCCCGCCATCGAGAGACAGGCCATCCCTTTGAACAAGGTTGTGTTGACCCCCCTTGTGTTGGAGAGATTGCCAAGAGGTTCCAGAACCGCCACCGTTAACAAGAAGTGGGCTGCTGCCGACATTGACGGCAAGTGGGCTGCCACCTCTTGGGCCAAGAAGTTGGCCGTCAGACAGAGAAGAGCCAACCTTTCTGACTTTGAGAGATTCCAGGTTATGGTGTTGAGAAAGCAGAAGAGATTGGCCGTCTCTAAGATCGCTGCCAAGGCTTAAACATATATAATACACGGTAATTGCAGAGGCCAGAGCACGGCTCTTGTGTAGTAGGTTGGAGGAGTTCCATGAGGTACTCAGTGATGAAGTCAATGAAGTCAATGAAGTTCATCTGAAAATTCAAAGTTTTGATGGGTTTTCAAAAGTACTAGGTTGATAATTTGATTAGTTCATCGTTTCATGTTCATTTGACTGTGTTCAAGTATTGTGGTGGAGCTTTAGTATGGAAAGGTATGGAGTGAAAAAGTCACCGTAAAACACCTCCACACAATGCTGTCCCGTAAATGCTTCAAGAACAATGGAATATGACATAAATGGCCCAAACATTCGATTTTTCTTCATATCTAATCTCATCACCACTCATTATCAGAATTAACTACGTTCTCATCCACCAAACTCACCAATATCACAACCTCATTTCTACAAAAAGCTTACCAAAAGTGCCCCACCAGCTCACTATCAACAACTCTAATGTTCTATTTACACGTTCTCACGAGCCGAAACGCACAGCACCCGCCGCTATGTTCATGTGATGGCGCAGTGTCTGGCAATTCAGTATCGTGGTGGGATCCAGAAAGTGAGATAACCAGCAATTAAGCCAATATCTCCAACAAAAAACCCCTTCTAATTTTTCAATCTCTTCACTGAAATTGGCGAACTGAAAAAATGGATCGAAATGTGCAAAAGCGATTTCAAAACCGACTTAAGCGATTTAAGCGATTAACCGCCATCTCAACATCCAAATCCACCACCAACCTCCAAAACTTCAAACTTCAAACCTCCCGCTTATTTCTTCTTTCTCTCCTTCTCGGCCTCCGCAATCAACTCCCTCTGCAACTGCGGCGACGTCTGGGCGTACTTCAAAAACTCCATCGTGAACTCACCCTTACCCTGGGTCATGGCTCTCAAACTCGAAGAAAAACCAAACATCGAGTGCAACGAACACTCCGCCGTCAAGGTCACCTCGTCCTGGGTATTAGCAGTTTCGGTGATAATACCACCCAACTTGTTGATCAAACCCACAACGGGACCCTGAGCCTCAATGGGAGCAGTCACCTCCACAGACATAATGGGCTCCATGATCACAGGGTTACAGTTGAGGAAGGCCTGCTTGAACGCACCGTAAGTGGCCAAACGGAAAGCCAACTCAGAAGAATCCACCACGTGAGTCTGACCATCGTTGATGTGCATTCCCACACCCATGACCCTGTGGCCGATCAAAGGACCCTTTTCCAAGCAGTCGTCGAAGGCCTTGACACAGGCAGCGAGGTACTTTTCGGAAATCTTGCCGCCCACAACGTGGTGAGTACATTCGTTCTTTTCCAAAGGCTTCATGTCTCCCATGATACGACCGTACTGACCAGCACCTCCAGACTGTTTTTTGTGGGTGTAGTCGTAGGTGGTAGGCGTGGTGATGGTCTCTCTGTAGGTGACCTGGGGCTTTCCGGTAACACAGTCGACGCCGTACTCTCTTCTCATTCTCTCAACGTAAATTTCAAGGTGGAGCTCGCCCATTCCGGAAATAATCGTCTCCTTGGAGTCGGCGTCAAAGTGCACACGGAACGTGGGGTCCTCCTTCTGGAACCTGTTGATGGCCTTGGAGAACTGGGCGGTTTCTTTACCCTTGGGCGTCAACGAAAGCGAAATCACCGCTTCAGGCACAAACATCGAGCTCATGGTGATGTGGCGGTCCAGATTCTGCCCAATAAAGGTGTCTCCAGAAGCACAGTCCACGCCGAAAGTAGCACAAATCTCACCAGCTCCAACTTCGTCCACATCCTCCATGTCGTTGGAGTGCATTCTTACCAAACGGGAAACCTTGACCCTCTTGCCGGACTTCAAGTGGTTGATAAAAGCGCCCTTCTTGAGACGGCCCTGGTACACACGAATATACGTAAGTTGTCCGTAACGGCCCTCCTCGAGCTTGAAAGCCAAACCGACAAAAGCCTCTGCAGAAGAAGGAACAAGGTTGATGGGCTGCTCCTCGCCGTCCACAAGCTCAAGGCCCGTGTTGAGCACCTCGTTGGGCTGCGGAAGGTAGTCTACAACAGCGTCCAAAACAGACTGGATGCCCTTATTGGCCAAAGCAGAGCCCATAAGCACTGGGGTGAATTTTCTCGCAATCGTCGCCCGGCGGATCGCCTGCTTGATCTGCTCCGTCAGCGGCTCCTCGCCTTCAAGGTACAAATCGGCGATTTCCTCGTCCACGTCCGCCAAGGTCTCGATCAAAGTGGCTCTCTTCTCCTCCACCAAATCCGCCAAATCCGCTGGAACCTCGGCCTCCCGGATAATTTCGCCCTGGGAGCCCTCGTAGTAGAGCGCCACCCTGTCGATGATGTTCACGGCGCCCTTGAGCTCCTCCTCGGCACCAATAGGCACCTGGATCGCCGCAGCTGGAGTCTTCAACTTGGCGTTGATCTGCTCAATCGCCCGCCACGGGTTGGCGCCCATTCTGTCCATTTTGTTGATGAAGGTGACACGTGGCACGTTGTAACGGCGCATCTGGCGGTCCACCGTGACCGTCTGGGACTGAACACCGGAAACAGCACAAACCACCAAAACCGCTCCGTCCAAAACACGCAACGCACGCTCCACCTCGATGGTGAAGTCGATGTGGCCCGGCGTGTCGATCAAGTTGAAGTGGTACGGCTTGTTGTCCTTGTCCCACGAGCAGTACGTGGCGGCTGACTGGATGGTGATGCCCTTTTCTCTCTCGAGGTCCATGTGGTCCATTTTCGCTCCCACGGCGTCTTTTCCCCGGACCTCGTGGATCGCCTTGATCCGGCCCGTGTAGAAAAGAACACGCTCCGTGAAGGTGGTTTTGCCCGAGTCGATGTGAGCGGAAATACCAATGTTTCTGAGTCTGGAGGCCGATGCGATGTCTCGCTCAGGAAGGTTCTTGTTGATTTCGTCGAGGACGACTTTTTCCTGTTCGTACGTTTGGGGAATCGTCTTGAGCTCGTTGAGACGCTGGGGCCACGTGCTGAAACGACACGCGGCCTGGCGGCGACAGGCGCTTCCGAGACTTCGAAGGAACATAATATTGTTGTTGGTGAAAAATTGTCGCGATAATTGTGATGGTGGGGTGGTGGGGGAGGGCAAGTGGGGCACGTCCAAAACAAAAATTAAAAATTAAGAGAGTAGAGATGAAGAGGTAAAAGTGTTTTTTTTTTATTTACTTAAGGGGTGGCTTGGTAGGGTGGTGGGGTGGTGGAGTGTGGTGATGGAGTGTACCTCATAGTTTTTCACTGGTGCGAGGGAGGCCAGTCTGATGGAGGGGTGGGATCAGTGATCTGGAGGATTTTTCTATTTTTGAAGTCGTAGGCGTGCCGTTTGCATTTTCTTGTTCTTTTTTATGTTTTTGGGTTTCTTTGCTTTTCTGTCTCTTTGGTCTCACATAGTGGACCTGACTGTGGGGGTGGTTTGGTGGTATGCCAAATGCCAACTGGGATGAGATTTTACAGAAAAGACAAATCAGCGCAATGTATTCTTATATTATGAAAGATTTGGGGAAAAGGGTGAAAAGCGGGCTGTTGATGAATGATACATCTGGTACGGTGCTCTAGGGGCCCGGGCTGGAACAGAGGTGTATGGAGCTCATGTTGGCCATACAAGAAAAATGGTCCCGTCATTAAAATCATGTCATTTCTTGTCTTCCTCAAATTCAACTGCTATGGTTAGTGCTTAATTGTGCTTTTCGGAAAAATGGATTTATAGTTCGGGTTTGATAAGCTCCAGAATTACATTGACTCAAAAGGAATTCACCATAAACAGATCGTCTTCTTTTAAAATTACCACCGTTTGGCCAAATTTTCGGAGCTTAAGTCGCTCGTTGATTGTTATTGTATGATTAAGGAAAGTGCCCCAGTTGATCTTCAAACAGAGGTGTAATGTCGCTTTCATTCTGATCATTTCTGATGCAGCCGTCCCGAAGGCAAGCTGATCAGCCGTTCACTAGATCAGTTTCAAGAAACCCGAATTTCCACTAAGATAGCTTGCATTCAAAGCGAATCGTTTATGAAAGCATTGCAGTTTAGTGGAAGCCAACCCACATTTCAAATATAAAGAGACGTTGATTACGAAGTGCTTATCATTCTGGTGATTCAATTTTTCTCCCCGGCTAATAAACTCAAAACTACATGTCCCTAGGAAATATTTACTGGTGTCTCTGCTCAGCATATTATACTCCAAAGCTCCATCCACTACTACAACCATTATGATCACCGCACTACCTTGAACTACCCCAGGATCCCCCAAACTACAGCCGTAAAATGTCGCTTGGTCCCTTCGACTTACGAGGGTGGTGCCGACCGGCTCCTCGCATGCTAGACCCGTAGGCCACCTGTTAAAGCCGCTTGTCGCAGGCGTCAGTGGTGGAATGTCGCGGTAGAAGGAGGTGTCACGTGGAAAGAACTACCGACTTTCCCAAGCAGAGCATTCCCCATTGGGCGATCAGACCTACCGATCGAGCCCTTCAAATGCAGAAGCAGACGCCGGCCTTTGACTATGCTGATCTACGTGCTGTGTGTCGCCGTGAGACACCAATGTCTCACTGGGGTCATGTGCTCCATGTCACGTGACCATGTCAACCCTTTTTTTGCTCGCGAGGCAGCATCTTCTCCGCATTCGATGGAAGCTTCGCTTAAAGGGGCACCTTTGTTATGCACCCACCGATGCACATGCATCACCATACATTCCCCGATTAGGCAAAGGCTCACACTGTACGCCTATTCGAGTCATCATCTCAAACCCGTCTAAGCGAAAAAGGATTCAATCCTACAGTCATGAGGTTAAGTGGGCAAATACCCCATTTCGACTCTGCAACATGTGTTTAACCGAGCTCGTAAAAACCTAGCAAACCCGCCCTAAGCCTCTGGTTCTCTGTTTCTTTTTTTGCAACCACAGTGTGGATAGACTTTCAGCAATTGGCCCATTGATCAAGAAATCATGTGTCGTATATTTCAAAAATAGTACATGTTTTTACCGAAACGAGAAATGGCCCCTATGTCACCCAAAAGCAGGCTGATCCACAATCAACGAACACAAAGATGAATGTTCAATAATTGCCGAAACACAGGGATTATTATTAAATTCCACTAATGCGTGTTTTGACGATATCGAGGTTGCTGGTGTTATTTTTTTCGTATTTGTGTCCCCCGATTTTTCGTAATGTCGTGCAACACCAAGCAGGCCATTCTAGAAATAAACTTCGAAATAAACTTCAGGCTGAAAATATCCCGTGAATTGATAAGAAGCCTCATTGGATAGATACCATTGATCAATTATTTATAGATACCAATTGATGAATTTACGATTGATATCAATTGATCAATACATATTGATATCATCGCTAGTCGATCTCTCGCTTATAACAATAGACTGGGTTACACAAAATCTACTCTTCGCTTTCGCTTGTCCATCTACAAGTCTCTTGTCCAATCATAAATTACTACCTAGGCCGAATTAACTGCGTTGAAGAAAACCAAAGGGTATGTGCTCACCAGGAGCCTAGTAGAGTCTTCTCTGCACCATGGTGGTGGGCACAGATCTCTTAGCATTGGCAGAAGCCGTCTCGGTACCGGAACCGCCAGAAGCATTGTCAATGTCAGAAACAGAGGCCTCGCCGTTCTGGATCTTGTTACCCAAGAAGTTGGCAATGTCTCTGGCAAAAGTTGGGCCGTGCTCGGAAATGAAGTTGAGGCCAGACTGCAAAAGACCGTTGTCCTTGGACCAGTTGTAGATGTCTCTGGCGACAACAACACCGTTTCTCAAGGCAGAGGTCAAGAAGGAGATGGAAGCCTGAGGGTCGGCAAGAGCCTTCTGCACCAAGCCCTGGACAATACCAGTCTGTCTGATGGCGTTGACAACGGTCTGGGCAACGGAAATAAGGTCACGCTTGTCGTAGTACACGTCAGGGTTGAAGTTGTGCACCTCTGGGAGCTCCTCTCTCTTGTTGTTGCCACCGCTGTTTCTGTTGGCAAGGAAGGATCTCAAAAGGTTCAAACCAGAAGAGAAAACGGCTCTGGCCACGTTGAACAAAGCAGATCTCAACTCCTCGCTGTTCCAGATGTCCGAGAACACCTGCTGGAGCAAACCAGATTGCCACACGGCTCTGATCAAAGCAGGGCCCTGGGCAATGGCGCCTCTGACGGCAGATCTGATCAAGTCGCCCAAAACACCCTTGAGCTGCTCGTCGGTGGTGATAATGTGCCACACGTTACCGATGATGCCCGAGTTGGAAAGAGCAGAAAGCAAGTCGCCGAGCAAGTTGTCGGCTCTCTTGGAGAGCTCGGTGATCTCGCCATCGTCCTCAGACAAGGAACGCTTGTGGTTCAAGGAGGCGATTTCGTCCAAAATCAGCAAAGCCTGACCGACATCCTCCTTCTTGACCAAAGAGTGGGTGAATTCGGTATTGTCGATGGCGGTAGGGGCGGCAGAAGCGAAGGAAGCCGAGGCCAAGATGGCCAAAAGAGTAGGGGTGGAGTATTTCATGATTGACGGGGGCGAGATGAGGTGAGGAAGGAAAACAGGAAAAAAAAAAGGGTGGGAACCTGCTGCTTAAGTACCTGTGGAAAGTGGGGACGATCTGCGGGCGGTTTCTGCCGGGTGTTTCAGAAAGAGGATAAAAGGGTATGGGCGGTTGGAGATTTTGCAGCACTTCCCGAAGCGGTAAAATGAGGTGCGTGGAGGTGCGCCGTGTACTGCACATAGTGCGGTGGACAATCCGCGCGTATGGGATTTTGGCACCGCTTGTGTGCAGGCCGCATTGTACCTTCCGCATCGGGCAAACATCAGCCGTGGCCAGGCACGATACAAGAATAGCCAAGCAGAAACAGGTGTCGAAACAGCACGAGGTGACGGCCCCCAAGGGTCTGTTGTGGTGCACGGGTCTAATTTCCACTTTTATTATGGGCATTGATAATAGGGGCCTCGCGAGCCCCTCCTTTTCTGGCCCCAAAGGTGCCAGTGCCAAGAGCCGCAGCATTGTTCGACTCCCACAATATGACGAAAATCTCGTCACAAAAGGCAAGCGAGTCGAGGCGAAACCTCCATAGTGATTTTGCTGGATCGAGAAGTCGCTCGTTTTGCGTGTTTCCCTTTTGGTCAGCCTCACCTTCTCAATGTCGTTTTTGCGGTGGTGTGGCTAATCGCCCAAAGAAGCAACGATCGTGAAAAAGGAATACCCGGCTTAGAAACGGCCGAAGGTTTAAGCTATAGATTAAAAGGGAAAAGCGAAAATGAAACTTCAAAAGTGAAGATTTAAGAATTGAAGAATTTACAGAATCAGGATTACCGCAAGTGCCAATTATGGAGAGGTGGCCGCACGGCACTATTGCCTTTTGCAGACGGACCAGATGCACGGTGGATAAGCGTGGACATGACAGAGATCAATTACGGTGAAATGTCGTTCTTTTTATAGAAGAGTCAGAGAATTTAGAGAGATTCTGGAGAATTTGAAATTTTACAAAATCTGCTTCAGCCACCGCAGATTCGGCCATCAGTGGCTTACGAGGCTTTCCCCGGATGAGCGCATTTGTTCCATTCCTAAAAAGTGTATGGTGAAAAGAGGGGCCTTGAATCGCTAATTCTAGGCGAAGTTGCGCTAATCATCAAAACCTCCTTTCGGTAAGTCCATGTGACGAGGAGGTGCCGAAGGGACAGTGCCTGTGGATCCGAAATTCACTAAGTCGATTTGGAGTTTTGCATTTATCGAATTGACTGTAGATTCTGGGATTGCTTTTGTGGAATGGACCCAAGGCTTGGTGGAGATTTTTCTGATTGGACGGTGTGTGCTCCTTTGGGTTGTCTTATGAAGTGCGTTGACGGTGAACCTTAACAGTGGCATGGAATTTACGATTGAAAAACTTCGATTGAAAACTTCGATTGAGAGAAATTAGAGAAAACGGGTCAATGGAATTGTGGCTTCTTTGGTGGAAAGCTTGATTAAAGGTATGGCCCAGACTAGGTGACTCGGTCCAAGCCCCGGTGTCAAGCCTCCCAAAGCCACTATAATATTGCTACTTTTTCCGGATTCGATGCCGGCGAAGATTCACTTGTTGGAGAGATCTAAAGGAAGAAATGAGATCTGGTTGTTATAGAGGGGAGATTTGGATTTTGTTAATCCTATGTTCTGATGGTCAATTGGTGATGGTGTATAAGTGGGCTTCTCACCAGGTATACTGGAGTTGAGTTAATCAGTGGATACACTATTCCAGCAATTGAAGCAATAGACCAACTACTCCTTCCCAAATTCAATGACTCCATAAATCCATCGAACTCCTGTTTCCCTCCTTCTCTTCAATGGACCCCACTTTTACCCTAACCAGTCACATTATTACCATCCACCTACTTCTAACCATCCCTTCTCTTCAAACCATCCAATCCTCATCCAATCCTCTAAAACCTCTTAACCTCTAAACCCTCTAGGTCTCCCCGACACCGTATCCATGACAACACCGCCGTTGTGTGCCCTTTCATCGGATCTTCATCCCCGATCGATACTCGTATTTGCACCCACAAAAACCTCCCCATTCGCCTAAACCTAACCGAAAACGACTAACCCAGACATCTGGGCTTCCAGAATCATAACCAAATTGCGTTCCTCTCGGTTATCCCAAAACGGAGATCCCATGGAACTCCTCATAACGTTTGCACCTCAATGCCTGCCATACCATCCCGCTTCCTTTTGGTTTCTTTTCCTTTCCCAGTTACCCAACCACCGTACCTGGAATGCTGCTTTCATATGGCATGGTACTCGAACAAAGCTGCTCTAGTCGAAAAAGGGCAATAATTCTGCTTGGCAAAAAGCGGAACAACCCACCTCTGTGACACTTCGGTCTTGGCTGTATTGTTCCGAGAGGCATGCACGCTGAGGGCTACTAATTCGATTTTTGTTGTAGACGATGGTGTTTTGGGAAATGGGCCTGGTTCTGAATTTGACCTAGTTCCGTTTTGGGTAGTTGTGTTGATACGATTAGTCTAAGCAATGCAGCCATCGAACGATGGTTTTGGAAAGCGGGACCAATGGAGCATATGGAGGAGACTTTTGGATTGCTGGGGGTGGTTCTGATGGCGTTGGTTTCAGAATTGGAGAGAGGTGTTTCAACTCCAGTAGTGAAGCGGTCGGATTTGTTTCAAAACAGCCGCCTTGTCATGAATGTCTCGTCAAATCTACGACAACATGTGAAACACCATTGTTGTTGACGGGCCAATAGCAGCGTGGTAGGTGTAGTGAATGTTCCATGTGGGATTCTGATAAAAGAGATGCTGGTGCCTTTAAAACAGGCTGATCCTAAAAAGCTCAAACAGCCTGCTAATTTGCATTAACATGATTAACTTCCACAAGAAAATGACCAAGGTGGACTCGAAGATCGACGATATCCACAACAGCTTGAGTGTGCGGTACAAGACGCTCTGGTTCAAGACGCTATTGAGGTCTGGGATACTTAAGGCTTTTGACGATGGATTAGCGGCAACAGGGAAGCCAGCAAAGTAGGGAAGTCTGCAAAAGAATACAATGGCAAAAAGGGATATTTGATCATGACGGGTTGGTTTCTGCTGGAATCTGTCAAAGTTGGTTCACTATCTTCCAGATCTCCTTTGGCTCGTGATAGACGCTCATTCCGGGTGAATAGAATTATTTGCTATTTCCAAAAAGAGCTATTATCCAGAAGTCCAGCAATTGAGGGAACCGTTTGTACGGCTCGCTCTCTATGTACTGATAATTGAGTCACTGGCACCTTTATTCATCTCCACAGGCAATATCACATAAACAATTGAACAAAACGTTTTAAAGGACCACAAAAACCATATCCTGCTACTTCAAAGTCCTCCAGTAGGGCACCGCTTCACTTAACTACAGTGGTGTCTGCACCAGACAACAGAGGCTTGGACACCATTCCAACCGCAACTACTCAAACAGCAAGGGTTCTTGAGAGGGGCTTGCTGAAAATACCTACTTTTCAGAATGCTTCGTTTGCATGAATGGCGGATCTGGGTCCACATTCCACGGTACGTTCTCGGCATGTTCTATGGCATCCACGGCACATTCCATGAGTGACTGAGCCGGGAGAATGGCCGAAGCCGAGGATGTGGATGTATGAGGATTTAATTCTTTTTAGGGAAAAGACGCAGTGGTGGGTTCTGCTTTAGGAAAGAAATGTGAAAGCTTTGAGACTGAGGTTCTACAAAAGGCTCACTGGCCTGATCCTTCAGACCATTCAATACCTGGATACTTTTTGGTTCCTTTTCATCAAAAACATGAAATGTACTATTACAGCCCAATTAGTGAATATCAGGATGCGTGGCAGCTTATTCTGCCTACGCCGTGTGAACTAGGTATGTGAGCCAAGTATGGAACCAGGTACGTGGCATGCACTAGATCTGGACTTCCGATGCTGTGTATCGGGCTCGGAGCGGGCCGCCTTGGTATTTATAGTAGAATTTGAAAACACAGAAAATGAAGGATCAGGTCCCCGAAGCCCATTCTGTCCATATAGGCTGAGTCGAATGGAATGCAGATGTGACTTAGTGCCATTCCATTCTTTCAGACTAATAAGAAAACTCATCTAAACTTCATAATTTAACTTACCACCCTACAATGCTGAATCGGCTATATCCAGTTATCCCGTACAAAAAACCCTTCTCCCTCTGGATGCACATGAACACTGGCACGATAGCCGATCCACATGAACCTCCACAAAACAGCCCTTCGAAACTTTCAATCACAAAACGTCAAAAAGCGTCTAACCCTCCAAAAGCTTTCACCTGAAATCCTTATCCCTCTTCTTTTGCTCCCTTTCTCTCCTGGTCACTTCAATGCACAAGGCGTAAAACGGGCTTTTGGCCGTGGCCTGAAAAACGGGCAACATGGGCAGGGCGTGAACAGCTAAATAACTCAAAATTTAGGGGTTGAAGATTCAAATCACCTAAATCACCAATTCACCAGAGTCACCAGAATCACCTCTCCAGATTCACGCTTTTTCAAACAAAGACGCCCACGTTGGGCGTGTTTACGACAAGACAAAGCAAAACAGAGAAGCAAAACAGAAAAACAGAAAAACAAAAAAATCAAAATCCCTTAACCCTCCCAAAAAGAAAACAAAAAGAAAACAAAGCGTTTCCAGGTTGCCCGCCAAGCGCCATGTGCTTATTTTTGAGCTTTTTTTAGTGGCTGCAAGGCCGGACCATATGGCGCCTTGACGTGCTTTTTCTGCGATGCGCTGCACCCTTCTTATCCGGAAATTGCAGCCACGCCAGGGCCCAGCAATCTCGCCCCACGTAGCTCCCCGTCAAAAACTAGTAGTTTCATGGAAGTCTCCCAACTGAGAGCTCCCCGTAGACACCAATATCGCCGGGGGCCGCCGCCGCTGCGCCTCAGCCCCGTAGCCCATCCGGATAAGAGAGGTGCACACCCACATAAACCCACAGGCCGTTTTTTCATCAACACCATGTCTTCTACTACAACCACCCAGAAGGCCCCCACGGCCGGAATCGTCACAAAAGACACCCACGGCAACGACTTCCGTGTGCCGGACTACACCATCAAGGACATTCTCCAGGCGATCCCCAAGGACTGCTACAACCGTTCCTTGGTGCGTTCTCTAGGCTATGTTGCCAGAGATATCGCCATGATGGTTTTCATTGGCTGGGCTGGAAACTCGATGATTCCTATGGTGGCCCTGCCGCTCGTCCGAGGCTGTCTCTGGGCGCTCCAGCTGTACCTCATTGGTCTTTTTGGCTTTGGACTCTGGATCCTAGCCCACGAGTGTGGACATGGTGCTTTTTCTGATTACCAGAACATCAACGATTTTGTTGGATGGGTCCTCCACTCGTACCTCGGCGTGCCCTACTTTTCCTGGAAATTCTCCCATGCCAAACACCACAAGGCCACAGGCCATTTGTCCAGAGATATGGTTTTTGTGCCTCACACCCAGGAGGAGTTTGTGGAGGGCCATGGAGCCAATAAGATCGGAGAAGTTATGGAGGACCTGCCTATCTGGACTTTGGCGGTGCTTCTTTTCCAGCAGCTTGGCGGTTTGCAGTTTTATTTAGCCACCAACGCTACGGGTCAGAGCATTCCTGGAGTTTCATGGTGGGCCAAGTCCCATTACGCTCCGAAATCGCCCATTTTCGAAAAAAACCAGTTTTGGTACATCATCCTCAGCGACATTGGCATCTTGGCGACCGTTTTCGGCGTCTACACTGCTACCCAGGCTTTTGGCGCTTTCCCTGTGCTTGTGAATTGGTTTTTTCCCTGGCTCTGGGTCAACCACTGGCTCGTTTTCGTCACTTTCCTCCAGCACACCGACCCTTCGATGCCCCATTATTCTGAAAAAGAATGGACTTTTGCCAGAGGCGCTGCAGCCACCATCGACCGTGATTTCGGGTTTGTGGGCCAGCACATTTTCCACGATATTATTGAAACCCACGTTCTCCACCACTACGTGCTGAGAATTCCCTTCTACAACGCCAGAAAGGCCACCAAGGCCATCAAGGAGGTCATGGGCGAGCACTACCGGTACGAGGGCGAGTCGATGTGGAAGTCGTTGTGGAAGGTGCTTCGTTCGTGCCAGTTTGTTGCCGATGAGGACAAGAACGGCGTCTACATGTTCAGGAATGTGAACGGCATCGGCGTGAGGCCCCAGTGAGTGGGTGGAATGCTTTTTGATCCGGTGCAAGTCGCTCGGGTCGTTGTTTTAGATCAGGTTTAGTGGATAGAGATTTAGACAGACGGGTGTAGGGAGTGGTGGTGGTTGATGGAGGGTGTGGCTGAAGGGTGGTTTGTCGTTTCCCCATATCTCGTCATGTGTGGAGGGATTCGAAGGTAGCAATGAACTAGCGAAGGTGCTACTGGACAGTACTTCAATCCTATCAGGAATCATCATTGTCCAAAGTGGATGGTTGACCTCTTGATGCAACTCGACTTGCAGTGCTCTAAATTCACCGGTCAACTTGAGATTGTTCAATGGAAGCACAACAACTAGGGATTGAATATCCTTCCTTCAATTGCATCCTTTAAACCAAAAGCTCACACTAGCGGAAGACGAAAGCGTGCCTGCTAAATCACCTTCAATTCCTAGAAGCTTATCTGACCAGGGATCAAGGTTTGTCATTATCGGAGGAAACAAAAGGGGAAAATGTCATTTGTGTCATAAGCCTCATGGATTTTTGATCCAGTAGATGGACTCAAGGGAAGGTGACTTATGAGAGGTAGAGAGTCCACGCCATTGATTCACATCACGATCGTTCTGGCCAGGTACTCAGTTGAGGTGTTTGCTAAGGTTTTCAGACTTCAACTCTTGATTCACTTTAAGGTTTGAGATCAAATGATGTGATAGGGCAGTAGTAGCTGAAGATCGTCAAGATCAGCAGCTCAGCTTTGGCTTTCCAAGGGCCCGCTACCCGATTGATGAAAAATCTATTGTGGCGATTTCTGACGTCTTTTGACCTCTTTGAGCAGTATTTGAATCTGTGGTGTTCCTTTGGGGCCCTCTTAGAAGCTGAGCTTGAAACAAGGACATGACTTCGGCCAGGATACGGAGAACATCACCTGGAATAGTACTGCCCTAGTTTCTCAGCTCACGTTCCATAGAAACCACAATTTTCTGAATTTCCGTCCGTCTCGAGGCTTACCCTTTCTTCCAGTGCGCTAGTCGTAGATCATGTAACCTGACGATGCATTCGATCTGAAGGGCCTGAAAATACCAATTGCTCGATACCATGACTCCACTCTTGTTCTTCTATCTGGACAGGTCTTTCATCTTGAAGTCCATCACTGGTTCATTGCGCTTTTCATATAGCACACATGCTTCAAGTTGCACCAGGATATCATGCTCCACGTTCCCCCAAATTACCATGCTCCAAGTTCCACAAAATCACGATTCTTCAAGTTCCACCAGAACAGCATCCAGCAACTCCCTCCCCTCCAACTCACCCACCTCCTCTTCATCCTCTTCATCCTGACTTCAATTCCACAACCCTAAAACGCACCCTACCAGTCCCCAGGCAACCTTAACCGAACAAGCTTCTGGAAACAGGGCCCTGTGGTGGCGTCCGTGGGGAAGGGGCCCCCTGTGCCACAAAACAAAGACGACCCCTTCGGCCCAAAATCCATATTGACGTTTGCATCTCCAGCGATTTCCCGATTCGAACCCTCAAGCTTTAGCGTTTAGAGGATGCGCCGAAGATCCCCCTGATCCACGAAAGCGTCATTCTACGGGACCGGAACCGCCGACGGGCGAACAAATCAGGGCCTCCTCCGCTGCACAGAAGCGTTCTACAGAAACACAAAGGCGTCTTGCCGAGGTGCCTGGTGTAGTTTAAGAATCACTAAGGTTGGCAGGAGGGTTTTAAAGTAGAGTTGGTGGATTTGCCAATCTTTATTATTTTTTGTTAAAACTCTTAATTACGTCAAAATAATGGAAGACTTAAGGCGTTTTCCCTGGGTTCCTCGCCTTCTAGTATCGGCACGGCGGGTATTTCTGCGAGTGGTTTGACGAGCAAAGCCGCCTTTAGACGAGAGAAGGTTTGAACCAATTTAACAAAATCAGAAAACTCCAAAATCAGAAAACACCAAAATCTAAAAACAAAAAAGCACCTTAAATTCTCCGATGCCGCCGGTGCCGCCGATCCCGGGCCGCTCCGAAACCCAAAGCCTGGTGGTGAAGAACCTCCAGACGTATGCTCTTTTCGGTAAGCGACGCAGCATCGAGCAATGAGGCTTGGGAACGGCATTTGGGAGGAAAAGTGAAGGAAAGAAAAAAAGAAGAAGAAAAAGAAGAAAAAAGAACCAATGGTTTTTTTTGGATTTTGTCGACACGTAATGCCGGGGGGTTGCCCCTGGAGCCAAAATGCTAAAGACTAAGCTTCACTGGCATGTAGGCTGGCTGCGAATCGAAGCAAGAAACGGAGAATGTTCGGAGCCGGCCTGGCAAGGGTCGAGGGAAACTCGAATTTGAAAAAAATCGCCAAAACAGCACCCGGCCCAGATTCGAAAAATCACATAAAAATCCAAAAATTCCTCCATCTTCCCCTTCGTGCATACCCCTTCTCTCTTAACGGTGCTTCTCGCTTAGGCGGCTGCCGCATTCTCATGTGCGGCGCTTCAGACGCTTATTGCGTTATGCCCTCCAGGTATAAAAGGGCACCGAAATCCCCTTTTGTCTTTTTTTCTCAACAATGCTTATCGCTTTAGAAACAAAGGGTTCCGCCTTCAAGCCGCTGCTCAACAAACCGCCCATCACGTGGCGCTTGAAGAAGTTCAAGGAGCACCACCAGGGCAGAAGACCGTCCAGGACTGAATCCGAGACGACTTTGGTGGACGCCAGGGCCTCCAAGGTTCCGGAGACAAAGGAGGTTTTGAAGGAGGAGACCGTGGAATCCCGGTCCAGTGGTCTTTTCAAGTTTGTCTGATTGACACCCCTGATTTGTTCTGATTGACCAGTTGATTTGATTGAATTGATGATTTACATTTTGGGGGCATCGTGGAGACACCTTGGGGCTCGAGATTTGGCGTTTTGCAGAATCAGGACCGTCGACCTGGGGTGGTCAGATCGGTGTATGTGCCTGAACGAGACGCTCGGTTAGTTGCCCTAAGTGGGCCGATTTAGGAGCCCAACAGATTCAGCAGACAATGTTGTACACATTGGAAAAGCAGACGATTAGAGATTTTATTGAATTCTTAAGTCCTTCAAGTTTAGTCATTTGAAGTTTTTCGTTTCGAAAACTCATTTTGTTCAATCGACTCTGCCTATTCTCAGAAATGGCTGCAAAATGGGAACATGAAACTCCTTAGGCACCCAAACCTCCAAAACAGCCCACCCCACTAATCGCATATATTCACGAATCCAGGATTCTCGGCTTCGATATCTCGCCATACTCCCCGCTGGTTCGGGTTTTGGCGCACTAGCATAGTCTCTCAAATCAGGCCACCCTCATAGGCTCAATGCACGAAAATGATCCAACTTTACTCAACAAATTCAGCAGGTAGAAAGTAGAACTCATGGTAACATTTCACGCCATTAAACGATAAGTCGTTCACGTCTACAGCTTCCTCAAATATACATGCAATAATATAAGTCTAGGTCGACGGCTCTATGGCGATCCCAGCGACCCTTCTGAGTACTCCAACTCCTTCTCTGGGTTGGGGTCCCATGCTAATTGTGGAGCTGCCAACTCATCCCGTCTGGCGCCTTCCCACTCTCTCCATCTCTTCATGACAATGCTCGACGAGTCAAACACACCGTCTCCGTTGTGGCCACTCTTACCTGCTCCTGCTGTCTCGCCGGCCACGGTTCTAGTGTTACCCCAACTGAAGTCATCGAACTTCCAGTAAGCGTACGTGGGGAACACAAAGTTCCAGATGGGCAAGGCAATAAGGTAGATGAAGAAGTACACCACATAACTCCACGAAGACACGGTGATGACAATCAACAATCCCGGTAATCCAAAAATGACAGCCAAAAGAATCAACGACATGACTGGTGTAGGCGTCGACACAATGGCAAAGATAATCACGTAAATGGTGATGGCAATGGCACAAGGCAACACCAACGTACCGACCAACTCAATGAAAATGACAAACTGCATCGAGAAACAGAAGGTACCGCACAAATCATTCACCAAAACCAACTCAAACAAGTTATGCACCGTCGAGTTAATCCAACGACGACGCTGCGACAACAACACCTTGAACTTGTCTGGCACAATAGTCTTACAGGCAGCCTTGGGAACGAAAATCTGGTGTCTCTTGGGGAAAGTCTTCAACATCAAACTCGAAAGGAAACGATCCTCACCCAACAACAACAAGTTCTTCTTGTGCAAAGTATCGGTAACATTGTCCGAGTATCTTTCCACGATATCTGGGTTGGCCAAGATTGGCACCCAGTAACCGTTGTCACCCTTAGGCGCCTTGATTCTGTACATGGAGAAACAACCGGGCAAACAAGTAACACCACCAAAGACAGATTCGAAGGCCTTGGCCTGGTGATGCGAAATGTAGTACTCGAAAACTTGAATAGCAGTGACCCAACTGTCTCTCTTGTTGGCAATCTTCGTCTCACCACACAAACCCATAATGGCTGGGTCTTTGATCATTTCAGCACACATGTGGGTCAAACAGTCAGGGTAAACCTTGGTATCGGCATCCACCATCAATGTCATTTCGTAGAATTCGGCCATGAGTCCAGTCACACGAAAGATAGATTCAAGCAAAGCATATTCCAATTGGGTCATTCTCTCGTCAAACATCACCTTCTGCAAGAAAGACATCATGATGATCTGAGAATCACGCTTACCTCTGTTACCTGGTTTAGCAGTACCAGCCTCATCAGGAGTACCGGTCTTGACAATGGTGATGATTGGCACTCTTTGTTGCTTTTCTGGTGGCACAGTAGAGTCGTCATACTTGTAGAAACCAGCGTAAACCTTGGCCATGTTATGACGCTTGGTACCCTGAGCAACAGCAACGTATGAGTATGCCTGGACATCCTCAGGTGGAATAGCAAAGTCAGTCATCAAGCCCAAAGCAATGTCAGGAGTGGTGATGTCGGAACCTGAACCCTTGATCATACCGTCACAAACCATCAAAATCAACTTGTGGGAGTTAGGGTAATCAGTTGTAGCCACAGAGTCCAAGGTGGTACGCAAA